ATAATATGATTAATTCGTGTATTTATGAGATTATTTATTGGTTAGTACCGGATATAATATTCTATTGATCATCTCATAGCTTTCTTTTAGATAAAATATAAAAATATTAAACTTTTTATTAAAATAATTATAATTTATAATTGTATTTATATATAAAAAATACAAATAGCATATGTGTATATATTTATTTATTTTCTCATTTCGTTTAATTTAACCGAATAAAATTACGCGCAAAGCGAAATTATATTATTCTTTGATAATAAAATCACAAAGACGTATGCATAAAAATTATTACTGTAATGCATATAAAAATTCAATATTTAAATTTTTAATATAGAACAAAAATATATAATTTTCTACAAGAATTTTTCGATCAAAATATCTGCATTTCTATTAGATTCGCACGTCTGTACACGTGTATGTCGCACGAGACTAACTGCAAGACATGTAAGTCGTGGAAGACGCAAGACTTAAGTCTCTGAATAGCACTGGTGTCGCCATCTAACGGCGAAACCTAACTTCATAGTCAAGAATGAACGGACATCTCGATCCCTGCAAAAACATCTCTCTCTTTCCATTAGACGCTGTTAGAGACGTGCGTCCCATACGTCCACCATACTGCACGTCTCGCATAAGACTGATCCCTACCACCGACCGCAAGATTATGCGACGGTGTTGCCATCCTTTTCATCAAATTAGTACATCCCATACGTCCGATACGTAGCGCGTCTCGCGCGAGACTGATTCTCGTGCGAGGTATTGCGATTGCGAGATTATGGTCACATGATTAGTCGCGCGCGAACCGTGCAGCGCGGTGAACGTATGGAGATGTGCGTGTCTAATGAAAGGTATTTTGATCATGCACAAAAGATGCTTGTAGAAAATTCTATTTTTTTGTTCACATTTTCTGTTAAAGATTTAAATATTTAATTTTTATGCATTTTATAATTAATTTATTATTTTTATGCATTGATTATAATAATAATTTTTATGCATGCAATTTTTAAGATTTTATTATCAAAGAATAATATAACTTTACTTTACATGCGTAATTATATTATTATTATATTAAGATTAAATTGTATTATATTAAATTAAACGAAACGAGAAAATATATATATATATCTTTCTGAAGTATCGATTGCATAGCAATGATCTAACACGTGAAATAGTTGTAGAAAAGATATTATAATTGACTTATAATCTACCGATTTGAGTATTTTATGACAAACTCATCTAATTTAATATTATATCTCGTGTGTACGTTTGCTCACCAAATTTTGCTCGGGTCGTGAAGGCTACAATTCCGTATAGCAAACCACTATGCGGTAATATTAGCGAACTAATCTTCCATAAAGTAGTTGCTTTTATCAAGTACTGATCCAGAACGATGGTAAAGTGTGTCAGAAAAATCCAAAACACAATTGACGTGAGCAATGCCTTTGTAGCTATGATAAAATAATATGCAATCAGATATAAGAAAATCTTGAGAAGCATCTGTAATATCACATATGCACATCGCAGGAAATATAATTATTATCTACAAATTGTAATGCAATTTATAATTGTGATATAATATTAATTATATAACAAACAAAATAAACATTTTGCAAGCATACAAAATACATCACATCAAATAGGCAGTTGAACTGTGTTTCCTTATAAAAACATTTACGTTAAAAGTTAATAATATATATATTTTTACATATATATATTTGAGTAACTTACAGTGATTAAAAAATGTACCAATTGTGAACATGAATAGTGCCGAAAGGATGTTGTACATCATGAGAAGATAATAGTGACCAATGCATTTGTAGCCGAAAACACGGGATGCAGTAGAATCGTGCATGCGATTGTCGCAGGTAACACGGTGATTATAAGATAATTGAGCCATCCAACGTACAGCATCGCGAAAGACATATTTGTCAATCTCATTAGACTCTAAAATATGTATATGTTTATTCATAAAAAAATATTGCGGCATTATAAAGAAATTATTATCTCATAATTTATATTATACATATAATATATCATAATATAATAAAACATATATATATATATATATATATGAGACAAATATAATATCTTTACTCTGAATCCAGTTTCTTTATCATGGAGCGATTTTCTTAATGTCGCTGTTGATAGCGGCAAGAAGGCGATCATCATCATATAATAGATTATACTTATGTTAGGTCGAATAACAGATGGCAGGATTAAAAAATCCACTTTATAAAATGGAAATCGGCCGATAGTCAGCTATGGAAAATGTTTATTTTGTGTCAATCGTTTAATTTTATTATATTTTTACTGTTCATAATAATGTTTATGATATCGCTGTAAGAACTTACATCGTCAGCGATTTTTGGTAGTGTCAGATTCGTCCACATTTCTACGAAAGATTTCTCAATTGCGATTTGCAGAGCCATAAAACCACTTAACATGTACGGATCTTCGATCGTTAAACATTGACATATATAATTTTGCCGCACTTTCTTGCGACACATTTTTAAAATTGAACTTAATACTTTATATATCTAAGAATCTATTACGCTACGACTTTAATTGCGTAATAATTAAGAGTTAAGAAATATATAATTCACACGATTGTGAAAAAATGTCTTTTAAACGCGAGATATTTTGGGTATAATATTAATTTTAAGGATAAATTCTTGAAATTATTTTGAAATTTTAAATACTAAGCTAAAGTCTAATGTCTATTTATCAAAGACACATCTGATACACACCTTTATGAGCAAGTTCATCCTCGTGCATCATGATTATTCGACTCTCTCCTATTTCCGACGAGCGTATTTTATATTCTAGAACTTTTGGTTTACCAGTTGCAAGTTGTTCGATGTCAAAGATCGCCCATAGTACTTTGGAAGTGTCATTTTTCGTATAACGCGATTGCACAAGATCGATTTCACTATCGGCTGCTTGAACTGATATGCAAAATGTAGTTTTTATTTTCGTTTTACAAACGTCTTTGAGATTGTTTTACCATTTGTACGAAGCATGTTTGCGGTTTTCGACATCAATTCGTCTATAAATGCATTCCTCGGTGCATACCAGCATTTCACGTCATTCGGCAATTTCGCCAAAATATCATTTCGAGTGTATCGATCTAAGTCCTTTATAAATAAATGTAGGAAATATTATATGTATATAAAAACTACGATAATTTATAAATGAGGTAATTATACATACGTATATAATATAATTAAAAAGCAACTTTGCTTGTAATTTTTACATAGTTAATAAACATATATGATAAATATTACTCTTTAATTTCATATATATTTTTTTAATTTTATTTATAACTAATATTGATATTTATAACAATAATAAGAATATTAAGTCGGCTTTTTTAATTTAAAGATTTTATTATTATTTATGTTATTTATGCAATTTTATCTAATTAAAATTAATGTTTTGTAAACTTTTGTACAATATTTATATTAATTGAAACAGTAGAAATAAAATATGAAAAAGCATAATATTAGATGTAAATATTATCGAAAATAATTAAATTGTTAGTCATAGAATAGAGTTGTGTAATAAATTAAGTTTGTGATAATACGATTTTGCAAACGCTAATTGAACTACCTGCGAATGAATAGCGTGCGGTTGAAATATCAGACGTATTTGTAGCGAAAAGATAATAGCTATAATAATCTCTAGTGCAGTAGTTATCGGGCTATGTAGCCGCATAAGGACGGCTTTCCACATAAGAATCTTCCATTTTGTCCAGAATCTTTTCAATTTCGGATGCTCGATAATTTTTCTCACTCTTTGCATCTTGATTCTATTTTGCAGATCGAATGTTTACTCGACTTATAAATGCTTGCGAGAGGAGAGGTTTAATTTCACGGTCTATTTAGTACGGAGATAGAGAAAGCAGACACATTTTTCGCATAATTGGAAAATGAATAGGTATGATTAAACGTTTCTTGACAACTGCTCTTTCGAAAGAATTAGATAGGTTTTCTGCAAAATAAAACAAAGGATGCCAGCAGAGCAGACACTGTTTTATGTCATTGACAAATTTTTAACGAGAGAGAAATGTCGTCTATTTTTACATTAATTTTATTTTTTAAATACCTAAATCAAATATATTCAAGCAGATAATTTTTTTAAGAAAAAAGTGGCGATATGTAAATAATTTTATTTTTTATAATTTAATATTGCTCAAAGTTATTTAGGGGAAAAAAAAGAAAAACGACAGATTCCCAGATATCTATGATCAGTAGTATTATCAATTTTATAAATGTCATGGCTACGAACTGTCAAACGTCGAATGATATATTATTTAAAATTGCTTTTGATAGATTTCCGGAACCATAAATTAATTTGGTTGCTACACTGACAATATTTTGCTAGTAGGAAGGAAAGTGATCGGTGAATATTACGGTCTGCTGAGGCTTACATCACGAAATCGCAGAGCGTTCACGGGAATATTTACGTGCGGATTATTTTCTTTCATTTTCTCCCATTTCTATTTCGCTTAGATGTTATAATATTTTATACTTTCTAATGTGTACTATAAGAGATCGCAATTATCTCAATTCTAACTTTATTATTTGCGAGATAATTTTCTTTTTACCTCTGTATCAACTGCTAGATAATTATATGTGAAATTAGATTAATGTGATAAAATTATAATGATGATCATTATAATAGTGTGATTAAACAGCTACAGTTGGAAAAGGTGCCATGTTTGGATATTCTATAATAGAATAAAATATTGAAGAATTTTTTAAATATTAATATATTTTATATTAATATATTACTTTTTATATATAATTTTATTATGTATTATTGCTTACACACACACACACACACACACACACATATATAATTATTATATATTAATATAAAATTATATATATTATATTAATATATATTTTATATATATATATATATATATATATATATATAATATATAAATGTAATGAGAACCTAATTTTTATTTATTATCACGCTTACGACAGGTTATATTTCTAACTATATATTTGAAGATGAAGTGCATTCAGCGTATCTTTAAAGACATCAAATTGCACCGACTGTTTCTGGATCTGTCTCTTTTGTCAGCGAAGATAAGCCTGGCGATGATAATCGCAACTTTCAGAATGATTGTACCACGTTCCATGAAACGTTTACTAGGAGAAACCGTTCTCGTAAGTTTCGCTTTTCGAAACGAGCAGAAAAGATTGCAATCGCTTTAAAATTTAAACATGCACTATAGTATATATCCGGAAATTATATTTTTCTAACATTCTAAAATTAGATCACTGGAGCTGGTCACGGTATCGGTCGCGAATTAGCTGTCCAATTATCCTCGATGGGTTGTATAATTGTTTGTTGGGACAATGATGTCGACAATAATCGATTAACGATGAGAGAAGTGTCGAAAAATGGCGGAGAAGTATATACTTAAGTTTACATTTTAATTAATCAACCGATATATAAATACTATATTGCATAAATAATTAACTTGATATTGTAACACTTTTTTATGAAAAAAACAATGTATTATGAGTATTTCTAACGATATGCTAAGCTACGAGAGTCTTAAAGGTTTATGGTTTCGTGGTTGACGTCTCAAAGAGATTGGAAGTGCGAGAGACGGTAAGACTGATGAGAAAAATCGGTGTGCCGGATGTGACAATACTCATTAATAATGCGGCAGTGTTATATCATAAGCCATATCTGAGTTTTGATCCGGATGACGTGGAGAAAACGTTCAACGTTAATGTGTTTTCAAACTTCTGGGTATGCATTTATTTTTTAATAACTTGTATAACGAATTTATTTACACTTTTTCTTCAAGTTTAATCAATCAAAACAATTCTTTTGTATTTTTTAATAATTATTAGTAAATTATTCGTAGCTTATGTTAGTATTTTTTAATTATTAAAGAAGAACATATTTTTTTTTCAAGATTAATAAAATACCTCTCTTTTATCACGACGCGTAAGATTGCAATGATTTTTATTTTAAATAGACAATAGAGGCATTTTTACCTCTGATGCTCCAAAAAGGTAGCGGTCACATAGTAGCAATAAGTAGCATGTGCGGAATCTACGGGGTGTCACAAAAAGTTGCATATTGCTCCTCGAAATTTGCCGTGAGAGGTATAACAATATTTAATAATTTATTCGCGACATATATTTTCCACGAATTTTATTTTATTATTTTATCCAGGCCTTATGGAGGCCCTGCACGAGGAAGTGCGATTAGACGAAAGAAAATCCAACATTCATTTCACGACGATATATCCGTTTTACGTAGACACCGGATTAGCGAAGGATCCCAAATATAGGTGAAAAAAATACATACTTTGAGTCTTACAAGCAATAATAAATCGTTAACGTTTTGTAAGATGATTTAGCGGAAGATGTGCGTAGAAGAGATACGATACGACGTATTGCGATATTTCATTAATTGCAACACACAGTTGCACTCATCGTGTTATTAATTGGTCGGAAGACTTTCTAACGGACGCAGACAGTATCTGTTTTCGTGTCGATGCTTCCGGCACAAGATAATTTACGTCTTGTATTTTAGAACCGAATCGCTTTCCGTCTTAAAATAGCATGATTACGCGAGATATAATTAATTAGTATTAAAGAAAACCGACTCGTCAATAAATTAATAAAACAAAGAATTAAAAGAATTATACACTGCTTCTGTATACTTTACTAAATTCTATATGATTTTTAACTTTCAATTTTTTATTTTGAATCATGAGATTGAAATTAAAAAAATATTTGATGTTACTTATTACATTTCTTGTAGTCTCACAGAAAAAAAAGAACTCACGCAAAACAAAAATACTTGTATAAATTTAAGTTTTATTACATATCAAGCGGTTATGTAATGTGATACTGATTACATCTAGTCACTTGATTACTTCGAGCGTAAAGTTCACAAGAAAATTAATATAGAGAGACAAAGAGAGAGTGATCTTCTTAATAAATATTTGCGCAATATATGATATATTTTTTCTATTATAGTAACATATATTTGTCCACTTTGTTGAATTACTTTTGTTTTCGATAATAGCAGAATTAGAAATAAATTTTACTTTTGTTTGTGATAATAAAGGAATTAGAAATAAATGTTAACTTAAAATTAATTGCAGATTTCCTTACATTTTCGGTGTTGTGACGCCAGAATACGCTGCCCGAGAGATAATTAAAGCGATTCAAAGAAATTATACAGAATATTCAATACCGCGGTGTCTTCTTTCTTTGAATGCGATCAACAGGTATATTAATAAATATATAAAAAGTTACTTTAAATATTAAAAGAATAACTCTTCTTCTTGATATACGCATCACTTTTCCTGCAATTACGCAGTAATAATATTTTTTGTACAGCCTTGCAATTAATTTATACATAATTACTTATGATGGAAATTTTTTATGATAATGTTTCTCCTTCAGAATGGTTCCGGAGAACGTAATGCGATTGATACTAGATTTCTTGGCGGATATCAATCGAAAACGGAGAGAAAAGGATGTAATGAATTTGTAATTAGATGTAGAATAAGCTTAGCATAACAGAATCATACGCACAGTAAAGAGATACTTACATTTATTTATTAGATATAAATTTTACATTTTAATTATTAAACCGAGATGAATTTTTTTTAGAGTATAATTTACCTTTAAATTAATAAATATTTGTAATAAAATTAATTCTCAATTTTTATTGTTATATTTATATAAGCTTATCTTGACTTTAATCTCCAGATCGTTTAATGTGATTTATATCCTAAATAAATTATCTTCTAAATTATAAATAATTATTATAATATAAAATCGATTAAAAATAGTAGCATAGATTATTATCTATTAATATATCTTATATCAAAAATAGGGTTAAAGCTAGTAATTTTCGATAATGGACAGTTTTTTACCTTTTCATATTATGTAATATAAATGCAGTGTTACACAGAAATAAAAAGACCAACGATTGACCTGAAAACCTGGAACATATCACAAGGAATAGCGGTCTCTAGAAAGTAAACTAGACGTATCAAATGCTCGGTCAGAGATACGTCATTATCGTCGGCTCTAGCTGGATTATATAATTAATAATAACCAGTTCGACTAGTACTCGCCAATGTACGATTTACCAAGACTTTTATACCGATTTTCAACAGGATTGCGCTTATCGTGTGATAAATCGTTCATTGCCGAGTTATTCTCTGTTTTACTTCCTTATTATCATATTTTAACTTTAGATTTTTATTCGATTACCGTCTCTTGAAATGTATAAGATAAAATAATTATATTAATCGTGTTGTTTACGCGTTTTTTTTATACGGATACTTAAATTCGAATTCATTTCTTATAATTCAAGGTGATAATATGACTTGGATAAATAAAGCATGATCACGATTTTTTTCGTTCTAATGTTGCATTTTTTAATTGGCAATTAAAATAGATGATACAGAAGTGTGGTATTAATATTAAATAATATATGTGAGAAATAACAAAGACATATATGTGTGAATAATAATAATGAACTAACATTATGCTTTTCTTAAGATTTTATATGATTTTTTCACACGTGTAAAATATTGAATTTGCATAATTCTCTTCTTTATTATTATAATTCTATTGTTATATATTATGAAATAAATTTTATTTTCTATAAAATATGTTTATTTTCTATAAAATTACTTTTATAAAAACATATAAGTGAAATAGACTAAAATTAATACTAATACATAATACATAAAATTTATACATTATGTAACATTTCGTGGAGTTCGCAGTTTCACCATAATCATCGTAATTTATCGCAAAATGAGTTCACTTTAACGAGGAAAAGACGAGATTTGAGTAGCTTGCTAACAATCCTAGGAATTTGACATCTTTCAAACAAAAACAAATCAATCTTTTCCTAACATTTTCGCTTCAATGCGAATAAAAAGTTCTTCATGTGCGAATTAATAACAGATACAAGGCGATATCTAAGAAATACAGAGACCAGCCTTGAAATGATATTTCTATTGTAATTTTATATTTTATTACCTCACCGCGTTTCTAACAAAATATTGCGAAATGTATAGATCAGTTTTTGATAAAAGGTAGGATTTATTATTGCATTAAAAATTAAAAATAAAATAAATATAAATGTATACATATATTTATGTATTATTCTGTCTTAAACTTAAAATAAATACATAAGTACTCTCTAAGTTATTTTAAGAAAAAGATTAAATGCATATTATTGAAAAAGTTAAATATATTAAATTGATTTTATAAAAGACAAAAGGCATGAGAGCTATATTTTATTCGTTTTGTATGCGCGACTCGAAAGTGACCTTGACTTTACATGGTAGAAGAGACCGGATTAAAAATCTACAGAGTTAGAGTTTTAAAAACCTTTGTTGGTTTTCTACTATAGACCGAGCAGTAAACTTATAATCTTTCTTGAAGTTATTTAATTAGAGCTCATTTCATAATGCAGTCATTCGTTAATTATAATACAATTAATATAAGAGAAAACGTGTGATTTATATTGCCATAATATTGTGTAACTATATTTTTATTTGCCTTGATATTTTGACATATAATTAAAGAAATAGAAACTGCTAAAGCAACACTACCTTCTACGAAAATCTTACGTAATGTTTTTTGTTGCGAGCAATTCAACTATGATAGATTATATATGGATGCATTTACAAAAATAATTATCTGGGCGATAGAAATGGAAAATTCACAGCTATAATATACACACCGCTATAATTTTATAAGAACAAAATAAAATTTATATAAATTAAATATAATAATAAAATATAACAATAAAGTTTTTATTCAGTCAAGAATATCCTAATCAAAGTGATCTGATCGCGGTCGGAATTAAAAAGTGGGAGACCATGTTGTAGCTTCACATGATTAATGCATGCGTCATCGAGTGGTGCCACAAGTTCAGGTTTGCCCAATCGTATACATTCAAACGAGGAACAAGAAAAAGGAAGAAGCAGCTGACGAAGAAGACAACAACCTTGCTTATACGTGCCTCGACTAATGCCGGAACGTTGTTCCGTTGTGATGTTCAGTCAAGTTCAAGCGAGTCGAGAGTTCCAACCGTTTTTTTTCTGCCTCCGTCAACATCATCGTCATCGTCGTGCGCGATCACGAGGTGGAGAATCGTTGCTCCCACGCGTTCCCTACTTCTTCGCGAAACCGTCGAGGAACCTGGAGATCCGACGTGATCCAGTGATCTACGCGTTCGGCAGGGTAACGTTTCACTTCAAGAGTTACTCCACTTATCAACGCGTTGCGTTGTATATATTTGTATATACAGGTGTATTTTTTGGTGCATAATGTGAAGAAAATTTTGACGTTTGTTCAAAATTTCAAGTGCGTCAAGATAATTAAGCTGCAGTGAAATTCACCGTGCAATTTAAAATTTGATTTATGTTATAAAAGGAAGTATGTTTGAAATGTCTTGTATTTTATTTTATTTCTTCCTCAAGTTTTGAAGTATATACATATTTTTTTGTGAATCATTTTCAGATCTTATGTATCATTTTTTTGTTTCAAATTTTTAGCACTCATTAAATACATTCGTTTGCCAGTGTTTTTAATATTAAAATTTCATGAAGGTAAGATACAAGCTTAAGACTTGGAAATTCAATATCGCAATGTATTTAAATTGTACGCATTATCACATTTATTGTGTAATATTATAACATTAAAGTAAAATATTGTTTTACTTATATTACAGAGCCTTTTATTAATATTGAGAGCCTTAACATTTTTTAATGTAAATTTTTTTTACATATAAAATTTATCGAAAACAATATAGGTAATTTGAAGATCTGGAGATTATTGAAAAATTTTGTGTTATTTGTGAAAAAAACACATTCGATACTTTTGATGATTTTTTCATGTTCACTGCTGATACGATTACATTCCTGCTGACACAACAAAATAAAATTACAGTTTATTGAAGAAAAATACATTTAATGATTGTTGTAATTTTAGTTTCGACTGGATTAAAATAAAATATTGGAGCTTATTAAATTACGGTTTTTTCAATTATAATTTTTTTTAAAAATATTTTTTCTAGGTCTCTCTGCTTCTTTAATTGCTGAAATACAAAGAAAATTGAAAAAAGTGTGAATTAAAATAAATATTGGTCTTACTAATTGTAAGAAAAAGTTAAGGTTAATTAGTACAGATTCTTCTTTAATCAAGATGTCTATTATTTAAATTATTTTGAAATAGTCTGTTCTGTCTTTAAGGGGTTACATACACCTAGAGGACCGAAAAATTAACCCAACTTTGACATTTTATTCCGGCTAAATGAATAGGGGGAATCAAATAAGACTTTTTATGATTATAAGTTTATATTTTGACAATATAAAAAAAATAAATATAATTAAAAAATTGCAACAGAAACAAAATATGGTTCCTGGCGTTGGAAAAAGCCTTTTTTTTGCGGTGGACACTCTCCCGCCTAAACGATCAATCTGAAACAAAAAAACCATATGGTGTTTTTAAGTAAACAGTAGTGGTTGGTCGTTGAAATAAAAATTTCAAAAATTGCGAAAAATTTCGTCTTTCAACACGTCGTCATTTTATAACAAACAACAAAATAGAAATTCGGCGAACGTCAACGACCAACCACTACTGTTAACTTAAAAACACCATATGGTTTTTTGTTTCAGATGGATCGTTTAGGCGGGAGTGTCCACCGCAAAAAAGGCTTTTTCCAACGCCAGCAACCATATTTTGTTTCTGTTGCAATTTTTTAATTATATTTATTTTTTTTTATATTGTCAAAATATAAACTTATAATCATAAAAAGTCTTATTTGATTCCCACTATTCATTTAGCTAGAATAAAATGTCAAAGTTGGGTTAATTTTTCGGTCTTCTAGATGTATGTAACTCCTTGATGTTTTTATCATAGAAGATGTATACTTTCTATATCTTACGTGACATTGAAAACCGGTATTTTAATAAATTATAAATTCACAACTTCGTTATTTTAATTCGTACACCTCTTTATTTTACCTACGAATTATAAATTAGCAACAATTTAGCATATTTCAAAAATAAAAATATAAAATAATAAAAAATTGAGAAAAACCATAAATACATGTCGCAAAATTTTTCAATATATTTATATATGTATATATATATATATATATATATATATATATATTAAAAATTTAGGTCTTGAATTTTATGGATCTGAAGAACCTTCGAATGGATATTAATTTTCAAATCTCGGTTGCGTGGGTAAGGAGGCAGTTAACTATAAAATTTGTAATGAGACATCCTATACAAAATATATTTTTGGATTCTATGAAAGAAATTCTATAAAAGATTTTAGTTTTATTCAATTTATCCCAAACATTTTTACTAAATGCGAAAAAAATATGACGATTTATAGTTTCGACTTGTAGCTATTTGAAGCGCTCAAACATACAAAATTATAATCATAACATTCTACTCTGACTTATTTAATCTATTAAATGTTCAAAAAATCTACTTTATAAATATTTATATATTCGAGAATTAAGAAAGCATACTAATATTTCTTACAATTAGTATTTCACTGAAGCATAAGCGTTATGCATTCTTTACTTCATATTTTTGTCGTCAACAGCGATTTAAATATAAATAACCTTGACATATCCTTATAAAAAAGTCTAGTAGTAACAGATTAATTGTCAGAATGTTACTTTTTTTTTAACTTTTTTTTTAACTTAAATAGCTCTCCTCGAGCTTAATACGTCATATGCGATTGACGCAATACATACGTATTTGCATTTTTTTATCATTTTAGATTTATCTTAAGCACTATAATTGTTAAGAATTTATAAGTTATAATTATAATAATTATAATTATATTATAATTTGATAATTATATTATATATTTGATATTATATTATAAATATATTTTATATATATATATATATATATATATATATATATATATTTACAGATATACACTAATAATTTGACAATAATACAATTATACAATAATTATAATATATAACTGTATTATATAATTTGTATTATGCTGTTTATATAATTTATAAGATTTATATGATTTATAGTCGGTCTTTATGATCTTGTCTCAAGGATACAAGAAAATCCCGGTGCTAAGAAATATACTTCATCAGAAAATATAGAAGTTCACCTTGAGTTGCCCCTTAAAAACAAGTTCATTAACGTTCATCGGAAATTATAGAGATTGCGTGGGTCAAAATCCGATGTAGATCTCAGTTTTTATTTTTTTCATTTTCATGTCTTAGATTATCTATTGAGATTATAGATCAGATTATAGATTGTGATTGTACGTATGTATATAATGTAACATTAAAGCTGATGTAAGAGATCGCAGCTTAATGCTGTCTTGCACAATTATACTTTAATGCATCACAAGATATGATCGTCTGTCAATCATTGTGCAGAAATCAAATTTCCTTTGCTTCAATCTCTATCAATAAAATCGAATATCGTAATTTCTCTAAGGAGAATTAAAATGCTCTTTCTACTTTTATCTCGCTTTTCTATCAGTATTGTCCTTTGCGATACGGATTATATCGACATCTCGCGTTAATATCGAAAGTCATGGGTTTTAATTCAACTCCTTATTTCCTCTAATCGTATTATTATCATTATTAATTGCAAGGTGAACAAGATATTTGATTGAACTTATTTATTTATTGCGTAGAATTTCGCGCCGATCATTTTACGCAGAGTATGTAATTTCAGAGAATTTTATTTATTTCTCAAACAGTAGTTTCTAATTTCCCTTATGCCCATATTAGATCTTATAATAGGGATCTGATTGCGGTAAGGATAATGCGAGTACAACTCGACTACTTTTTGCCACATTTATTCTTTCAATGGAAAAAGCAATGCGTTCAAGGAATGCACGCGTTATGCAATAGGAAAAATAACATGTGATCTACAAACACACCATTTCTCATTTTACTTACATCTAACACATTGCATTTACATGTGCATTGTACTATTGTGTTACATTAGCTCGCATTTTCGCATTTATATGTTGCATAACATTCCAGTCACTGGATGTATTCAATCTTTTTTAAAATTTGCTATACATAGACAGGTGCGTATAGTACAAAACAATAGCTCAAATTGGCATTTTTAACTGTATAAATTCATATTTCAAATCTTTTGATTGTGTTTGTTTCATATTTTTAATATTTTTACTGTATTCTGAATCATTAAAGTTTTACTTTTCGATCGCACAATCAGGCATTTTTATATTTTATTTTAATATTAATAATATCTGACTCTCTTGTAAGAAATAAATGTTTATATAATTTGCATATATATTTGTGTCAATGACAAATTCACTTTTTAAAATAAAAATATATGATGACTAAGAGTTTACTATTAACACCTGAGCAAGTTTATCTCGATTATTTTATACACTGTTATGTAACGTTGATGTCGGAATTGGAATGCATTGAACCGTATCCTGTCAAACAAGTTTTCCGGCCGTATTCATGTTGACAATTGAAACAAATTGATCGAATTAATCGAGATATATAATATATAAACAAAATGATCTTTTATGAAATTCTTTGCGACGAAGTTGCACATAAGATAAATTTACATAAATTATTGTTAAAAGAGCCTCCTAAAATTCGGTAAACTTCATTAACATTAGTGACAGGTCATAACATTCTATAAATAATTTAACATAAATTGCTACTAAAAGACAGTAAAATTCACAAATCTAATTAGGTCATATCTACTTTGTGTTAATCAATCACAAAACTATGGTGACTGTTAGTTCAGACATTTCGAAAGCAATGTTATTATTTGTTCTCCTCAGTGATGTCAAGATTATGTCGAGATTTAACTCAACCAATCGCGTTTTATATTATTTAAACAGAAAAAAAGCAAGACTTTACGGCTTGTTAAACCGCAGAGTTGCAACACTTTGAATTTTCTTTCTTTTCTACTCATATGTATGCATATTGCTGGCAATCCCATGATAGATTCTGTTCAGTTTATCAAATAAAAAAATGCTTATTAAATCTAATCATCGATTAAAATTTATTTACATTATAAATACTTTGAGTATAAAAAATGCAATTACAATATTTATAAAATAATGTATATTATTTAGTGGTAATTAAACTTGAATTTAATTATAAATGATCTTTAAGATAGAATTGATGAACTAATTTGTAATTTATTAAATTTAGTTTATATTATATTATATTATTAAATTATTATATTATATTATTAAATTTTATTTATATTATATTTATAATTATGATTATGATGTGTTTAAGAAGAGATGCAATTTTTTCTCATTTGAAGTTAATTCATTAAATGGCTAAAATAGGCAATTCGCACTCTAATAATTATCTAGATATAGAGTATGTGTGTATATATTGATATATTGACTGATTGTAAATATATTTAATATGTCCTAAATACATATCACATTATATTCTATTTTAATTACTTAGTATGTACATTTGTAATTTTATTTCTTTTTTATCTTCCAACAACCGTTAACCATACTATTTTTTCGTACAGGTAATATCAATAAAGTAATAAATTAATGTTTTATTGGTTTTTATTTTAATTGAAAATAAAGTTTAAATTATTAATATTGAATTTTAACACAAATTAATTTCGAAATGTCGAAAATGACTTTAATTAATTTGCTCGATTGACTACATAATTTTCTTGAAATGCTAACAATGATTGCAAATTAAATTCAAGGAGAATAATTTTACTACACTGTAAAATAATTATATAAATTTAAAATAAAAAACCTATTAAATTGGTAAATCGGACATAGGTACATATATAAAACTATGCATATATGCGTGTAATACAACTTATATAAATTAGACATGATTTAAATCTATGTCTATTTTAACAACTCTTTCACCTAGATTATTAGCAATTTGCATCTCAAAAAAACATAACTCTTGTTAATATCTTTAAACTTTCACAGAGTACATTAAAAAAAGTATATTAATATTTGTCGTAAAAATGTCACAAAATATTAATAGAAGATATATGCTGCTGTAAAATATATATTTAATATTCTAATCGGTTCAGTATATTTTGCAATGCTGAACGATTGACTGCAATAAAATTGTTGCAACTTTTTCACAATATATCAAAATTAGAGAGACAATATGATGAGATATATGATCAATTTAAATCATCTTTCTAGCAATTAAAAAATATACTTGCAACGATTTCTAAGACGACCAATCTCTATTCGATTAATTTGCTTTCATGTCTCGATGCGATAAGTAGTCATAAATCTTTTTCATCGGGTACTTGCTTGTTCCTCAAAGCACTATATCTTATGTTATAGTGTGATAGACATACAGAACTTTACATATTGCATAATCACTTGCTCATATAGTGTTAACACTTTCTCAGGAAAAGGCATCGATTTCAACATAGAGTGCAAACATAATTTATCATATTTCCTAGTAATTAAGAAAATAATTCTTTTATAAAAATCTTTTGCAAAAACGATTTCTTTGTAAGTACAGTAAAGAAGAAAAATTAGAAAATGTATTGATCAATAATTATATTGAGAGAAATTATTTACGATATATGCATTGCAATGGAACGAATTAAAATTCCGCAATTATCAATGCAAGATCATAATAATGATCCCGTTACACATTTCAGCGATTATCAAAGTAATTTTATGTTTAAAATCAAGCATGGCTCTCCCTCTCTCTCATCAAACTGGTTTTTTTTATTATACATTATAATAAAATAAATTATATCATTTTATATGCAGTTGGATGATGCTACCAATTAGGGACGAAGCAATAATTGCAAATTCGAGAACAAACTCTTGGACCAATATCTGGCTTTATCTTAGCATCGAATTTTTAATTGGCGCTATAATTTCTGGTTTTTCAACCATTCTTAATGCCGTAAAATCGCTGCTGCCAAAACCACCAAGGGATCTAACCGGAGATGTAGTCTTAGTACGTACACTTCTTATCTATATCTTAAGTTGCACTCAATATTTGTTTTAAATATGTATTTTCGATTAATATTTAAAATATAACATCTATAAAAAATATAAATATGTGTTCAATTATTTAGCAATTAGAAGATCAGAAGGAATTAATTTTACGCATATAAAAATAGATTCATATTTTAATTATATCTTTATGATTTAATCAAATATGGTTTAAATAGCAATAAAATATGATTTACTTGAAAATTGAATAGCCTCAAAAAATACGTGTTGTATTTTCTTAATGGACAAGTGTTTCCTGCACAATAGATTGCCGGTGTCTCGTCGACACTCGGCGAATCCCTCGCCGAGGAATTCGCGAAGGGCGGATGTTCTGTGATCTGCGTGGATAAGGATCTCAGATACGTTGAAGAGATAATCGCCCGGTTGAGGTCGCGGTGCTGCAGAGTGGAGGGAATCGGGCCAAATTACAGAAAACACGAGTTGGAAAACGAGAAGCCTACAATGATAGCGTACGAGTGCGACCTACTGGACCGTAATGCCATTCGTGAGATCGCCAGGAAGGTCGAAGACGAGGTCGGCGGCGTCGATGTCCTTGTCACATGTGTTGGTCGGCCTAATCAAGATATCTTCGACATGGCTAGCACGACTCTTATGAGCCACTATTGGGTAAATGTTGACATATATGTATATATATATAAATATATATGCAGTGTTTATTTTTTAAGATAATTTTGAAGCTAATTTTCGCTTTTTAAAACAATACTTAATATTCGAGAGTAAAATCAGTTTTTTATTTTTTTTAATTGTATTTTTAATTAATTGTAGATAATGAGATAATTTTTTATCTATGCATATATGTATATGTATATGTGTGTGTGTGTATATATATATATATATATATATATATATATATATATATAATTAATTTTTTATAATTGTATGGTCGCTCTACGTTATAAAATTAATTTATTAATATTACATACATATATATATATATATATATATATATATATAATATATATGTAATATTAATAAATTAATTTTATAACGTAGAGCGACCATACAATTATGAAAAAATTAATTATTGTTAATGATTAAAACTCTTTAAAAAATGAAAGAGCTTGTTTAAAAATATAGAAATACATTATTAATAACACGCACCATTCGATAATAAAATATATGCAAAAAGATGTGAAATTATGAAGAAATTAATTTTCACATAGTTATTGATTTAAACTATTTAAAAAAAAAAAGTGTGTTTAAAAATATAGGAAATTATTAATAAAATGGTCCTCTGACAATAAAAATATTTAAAAAACACATAACGATATATTTGACTCTAAATTATAAGGAAATTAAGTATATAAAATATATTTTTTGTCTTAAAATTCGTTTTTTTAAATAGCAATTTATTTAACAATATATAAGTTTCTTATTTTTTTTAATCATTGCAGATGATGCTAGCATTTTTACCTTCGATGCTACGGCGCGATAGAGCGTATGTTGTCGGAGTCACGCCGGTTGCATCCACTCAGGATGCATACTTGGGCTCGAGAGCAGCGATCGCCGGTTGGTAGCCTGTCATAAGAGCCGTCATCAGCTCGTTAAAATTGCGCATTAAATAATAAACGCCGTATTAGTTAATAGCGATTTATTTACGTATAATATATTTATTATTTTCATGTAGGCCTGATGGAAAGCTTGGGTCATGAATTGAGCGATCACAGTAGTCACCTCACCTTCTTAGCAATTTCACCGGCCGCAGGACATGGGTGAGCTTTCTCGCGAAAAAAACTGGAAAAGAGAATTTACTGCTGTTTCTCGATGACTTATTAATGTTAATTTACTGTATTGTAGTTGTACGAGAGAAAAAGAGCAACAAGTGGCCAAAGAAGTTGTGCAGGCGATCAGCAGGGATCAATGCATTATTCGTATTAGTTGGTACTCAAAAATTCTATATAGAATAAGGTAAATGAAGATCTAAATAATAAGATTGAAGTTTGAATTCACCAATATTATATTAAGTATCTGACACAATTATAAATTTCAAAAAATTAATAATAGTTTTTAAGAACATTTATATTTTTGCAGGCAAAAATACAGACAAATATACAATCGATAGATATAATTTATATTATATAATTATATTTATATTTTATAATTATGTTATTTAATATTTTATATATATGTATAAAGGCAAAATGGATTTTTATTACAATAATTATGCGATTAAAGTTAGTAATTAATAAACAGCGTGTATTTAAGTTCAATTGTTGCCATCTGATATATTAAATATTAATTTCAGTATTAAAATATCAATATTTAAAATAGAGAATTGTATATTATTCGTATTTTTATGTTTTTGCTTCGCTAATATACCGATAATTGTGAGTTGTCAAATAAATCTATAAATTACAAATTGAAGACAATCGTAATCTATTATTACGATTATTAGGTTGATGTAATTTTCAATACTCTAAATAATTTTTAATTGACTTTGTGCGATCCTGTATTTCAGCTGCACGATCCATAGTGCAATAACGACGGTCACACAATGGCTTCACACGCAGGGATGCGATTATTCCTTTTAAATTCTGTTCTTGCTCATGGAGCGTGAAGCATTCCAGTGCCGACCACCGACATGAGTGTGGGAATTTGTGTTTTCTGTCAGCGAATTCGCTCGAGATGGATAACAAAAAAGTTTAATAGTCGTTCGAAAGACGAGTAGCAAATAATATCATACTTTCTCACGACTTGTGTAAATTTATTCCGATATCTCAGTTAATTATTCATATAAATTCTAATCATAGCATTAAAAATTAGAATTACATTTTAAAAACTTGTGCAATTTTTATGTAAAAATTTTCTGTTTATAAGAAGATATTGCTTTCACACTTTTTAATATATTTTTACATACACGCAGCAATCACTCATCTTTTACTATCTATTGTACAATGTTATGTGCATGGATCTCATTTCTCTATATACTTGTTTAAATTATTTAATAAAGAGATAGCAAACTGAACCAATTAAATTGTAGAATTCTATGTTTACAAAAATATAAATTTTAATAATCCCAATAAAAATTCAAACTATCGTATATACTTTCCTTATATATTTTCCATATAAATTATATAAAATATTCCAAAATGCACAATATAACAAAAGTTACCGAAAAAAGAAGGTGAAGTAAATTTTAATATAAATTTTCGTCTATTCGATCTTTTTAATTGAAAATGAAAAATCTCAATTTTTTTTGTCTATTTTCGCTAATTGGTGTATCGATTAACATAAAAGCTCGACATCGAGTCGGGTAAAAGCACGTCGTAATGACCATTTTCGGAGCATCCAGTGAACAGAAGCCTTGCGGTCTCGTAGTTGATATTGACACGGTTGTGGAAAATCAGTTCGAGTTCGTATCTGCCAGCGAGCTCGCGATAGATCGAGAGATTCATGCGATAGAGCTTTGTGGCCACGGTGCATTCCAGCTCGCTGGCGAACGTTCCCACCGGATTCATGTAATCGTAATACTCTTGGCGATCCGAAATGTTCCACTCGGCTATCACGAACGGGCCGTAGTCCCGCCAATTGTCCCTAATGTGTCGCACAACCTGTCAAACGACCCACACATATGTCTTACATGCACCGTCGTAAATCAATTACCGCGTAAGTCGAACTGTCAACGCTCGTGTAACAGATGATATTTAAAGAGCGCTTAAACGATACATATGACATCTCTTCGATGATTAAACTGCGTATCTCGTCGCTTCTATTTTTGATTTCGTGACGCAATATTTGTCTGATGATATTATACAGGATTAGATAACGCTTATATTTAACCATTAAACTGACCATAGCTCGGAGCGATTGGTGCTCTTCCTCGTTCCTCCACAAAATGTAACTGATTGCCCTAAACGTGCAATTGCCATCTCCGTATATCTTGCGCACGCGGAACGTGCCCTCGTTACACCTTAATAGAGCCGTACCTGCAAAAAATGTGTATGCATCAAGTTAACCGCATATTAAACGCGAGATATGCATGTATGACGATATTTTTCATTATAATGCTTTATACATGATATAAAAATCAGAATCGAATACGAATAGCTATATTTGTGACATTAAATGAAAATAAAAACGTGCGAAATTGATTAAATAATAGTTTGTTGGATAAATCAATTTAAATTAATTTTAATTTAGTAAATCAAAATTAAAATGAATTAAAATCAACATTCTTTGTAATTAAAATTAATTTTAATTTGACGAATTAAAATTAATTAAGCACTCGTGATATCTAATAATTGACCTTCTCTGGAAATCTGAGAACGTCTGCTTCTACGCTTTCTGCAAGTGCACCTTGCTTGATTAATTCTTGTTGAAAAACTTTGTGTGCTAGAAACCCAGCATGTTTGCCATGCAGAATCGTTTTTGCTTGTCTGAGCTTTCGAAAAGCTGTTGACGATTTTGGAGTCTCCTCGATCCAATAAACGTTTTGTTTCTTTGAGTTTATGTTTTTTTTCATTCTCGAGTAATGTGCGATGATGATCGCAATTTTCTAAAAATCACATATAACCTTTTATTGTAATCCTCTAATTAAATATGTCAAAATATTGCCAATAATCTGACTTGACAAAAGCAAAATGCAAGATTCATCTTTTTAATCAATGCATCAAAATTGTTAGAAGTGATTTTTGTAATATAACATAAAACAAACTATATTTTATTAATTTTTGAAATTCTTGTATTATTTGATATTAAACAGATAATATATTTTTTAAGTAAGCTTTTACCGTCTTCGAAGATACATGTGCATAAATAAAAGCACGGCAGACAAAGAATTTGCAACAGTTTTGACAGTCTTGCTGCTAGAAGCTTAATTTATCTTCAAAGATTAAAAGATGTCACTATTATTAATTATTATTCTTGCATTGTAAATTGCATACAGCAATTTCTATATCATTACAGTAAAAATAATATTTAAATACTTTTATAATAAATTAATTAAAGAGATGAAATGCCATATGCATACACAATATTTTTATTTGGGAATTTATGATATATGAATGTAGCAATTTGTGATATGATTATAATATCGAATGTTATATCAGATCAGATATATATATATATGATATAATATCAAAAATATCTGTTTACTTAATTTAATGTAAATGTATTTTTTTTTAATAAGAAAGCTTTAATTTTAGTTCTTCCTTAAAGATATTTATTTGATTTCTTTTTTAAATAAAGGACATTTTATTTAGTTTAGTTAAGAACCCAGCAAACACAAATGTTACAGTAACATAACATAAATGTAAATGTTATATTGTAACATAACTATTACATCTATGTTATGTTACTGTAACATTTGTGTTTGCTGGGAAACATCCCAACATTTGAAATTATTGATAGAATTATTTTGCCATAAGAACGTTTGCTATCAAGAAACTGCTCAAGACTTTCATTGCAGTATTTATCTCTTAATAAAACTCTAATGAAATTCTTTCAACGGAAAAATAATTTTTATATAAAAACGCGCATTTCTCTCTGAATGAGCGAGAAAATTCGAACCGCAGCCGATGACGCGTTCGCAGGAACGTATCAAAATATTTCAGTACTCTACGCTTACGCAAATTTATAATTCTAATCCATTTTTTAATATACATATATATTCAACACAATTGCAGTATACCAAGAGTATTATATTCTACATTTCTGCGATAAAAAAATGTGTTTCACACGCACGTACATATATATTTATTATTTTGAATCGAACGCCTAGGTGACAGCAACTGACAGCTAGCGGTCAGGTGCCGCGTCACGTGACTTCTCACAGCTGTGAGATGCGCGGCTACGTGCGCGGTGGTGGTGGCAGTCGTTCGCCGACCGTGACGTGGAACGTCTGTGTGTGCGCGCGTTGCGGATGCCTGGTGAATGCACGGTGCATGCAGGTGACTAGTGAGCAGCAGTTGCAGTTTGCAGAGCAGACGGACGGTGGTATCCGCGTGGTAAGGGATAAGAGAACAAGTGTCCGCGTGAGCGACACGGAGCAAAGCGAAAGATGGCGGCAGCGCATCGGAAAGTGCTAAGGTGGTGATGCGCGAGTATCTTCATCGTCGTCGTCGTCGTTGACCTCGTACCTCGTCACCGTCGTCGTCCTGATCGCGATTACCTCCGATCGTCTCGCTCGTTGAGCGGAGCTCGGCCAAATGATATGGGAATTTGCAGCAGAAGGCACTTTCTATTGACGATATGCAGCCTGCAACTGGTGAGTGATTAATCCGGATAATACGCGGAAATGCCAGCTCGGTTGCTATATATTCCTGGTTAATTTACACATGTATATATATAAATATAGTATGACGCAGTGGCATACTCATTTTTCTTTAACTTTTCTCGCGATTTCCGCAAGTGCGATATGATACTCTTCGTTCATCACAATGTACTACGAGCGTCGTGTTGAAAAAAAAATCGTAGAATGCCGTTACCACGTTCCTTATTTCTTATCGCACTTATTTGAATTTTTTGTGAATTATCGTACGGTTTTATCAACCCGGGTCGTACGGTTTATCTCGAAGTATTTTTGTATTAAAAAGTATCGTGTTTGTATCGCGATTTTATTGTATTACTCGATAAACACCGCTGTGTGAAACCGGAGCGTATGTAATTTGTATTTTTTATTTTAATGTACACACGATTTTTATGTCAGAAATGTAGGAAAATAAATATATGATAAGAATAGCAAAACTTCTCAAATTACTGCTGGAATATTAGGAATAATAATTAAGTTTTTCTTAATTGAAAAAAATAATCACTTATTTTTTTAATAATTAAATGATTACAATAATGCATAATGTAATTTATCTCAATATTTACGAAATAAATAAAATAAATATGAAATAAATTTATTAAAGACTTTTAATAAAAGGTTTCAGTTTTAATTTATTTTATAAAATAAAAATATATAGAAAGAGTAATATGGACATATATATTTGTATTATATATCTGTATTTTTTATATATATTTTATTTTTTTTTTAATATAAATTAGTGCATTACATTTATTCTTTATTACAATGAATTTAAATAAACTTTTTCATACATATATATATTAAGAATTTATGAATTAGCTTCAGACAGTTTTTCATATATGTAACATGTACGTACATGGTTAAGTTCTGCTATCACAAGTGCTATGACTCAGAATAATTAACTGAGTATTTAGAACATAAGGCAATTGACGTAAATTAAGAACGCACAGACAGGAATCAACAGAAATTGAGATGTTTGCTGTCATTTGATTATATTACATTTATATTACATTCTATGTTGGATGCTTATTAATATACGTTCTGCAGAGAGTTAATCTATCATTTTATATTTTTATTTATAGATTACCACCATAGAACGTCAAGTCTTCGACTTTCTGGGGTTTATGTGGGCCCCGATACTGGTCAACTTCTTCAACATTATATTTGTAATTCTAGGATTTTTTGGGGCCTTTCAATATAGACCTAAATATATTATATCGGTATGTATAACATTAATTATTTTTAATATATATAAATAATTTTAGCAAATATTGTAGAAAAGAATTGAATAAATTGTGTTTTTTTTATATAAAAATTTATGTATATAAAAACAAGTAAAGAGTTGTATATTTATATTATATTATTAATTATACACATATATATTTTTAAATTATCTTAATTTTGTTTCAGTATTGTATATGGAATGCATTATGGCTAGGATGGAATGTATTTATAATATGCTTCTACCTCAGTGTAGGGATATTGGACAAAGTAAGTAGAAAATGCAATTACACATAGCATCTCAATATATTGCATCTGAATGTTTGCATCAAATATTATGAATCTTTATACAGCACTATAAATTGTTATGTAAACATAATGAATATAATATTGCAATATTATCTTTCAGAATAGCGACATTCTCAACCTAGGCACTGGGAGTTTCTCTTGGTGGCATGTAAATGGGCCAGGATGCAAAGCTGTTTACGATGTTACAGAACCAGAGCTCTTTAGACCTGCACGTCCCACTAATGTAACAGATTGCGTGCTGGACTATGAAGTGATAGAAATTTTACATGCTGCAACACAATGTATTTTAGGTGTAAGTGAAAAATTGTCATATAATGCAATGTTTTGTTATAATGTCATAACAGCTATATAGATTATGGTATATTATTATTGTTTATTGTTTTTCATTAATACAAAACTTTAGATGTTTTATATGTTTTAGTTTATGGCGATTGTTGGTGGAATCTGTCTCAGTAAAGTGTTCCTTGAAGAAGATGATAGCTGTAAGTATATATATTTAACAGATATATTTTAAGTTAGTTTAGAGACAGTTTATGGTTTCTGTTTCTAATTATATCAAAATACCATCAAGCATATTTGAAAGATTTATATTTAAAAGTTCAATGAGGACAAGTGAATTTTTTCTTTCATGTTAGACATTATGTCATACTTTACTTGTGGTTTACGATAAGCAACTGAGAAAAGGATGTGGTTATTATATTTGAGCAGATTATTTTTGATAACAGAAAAAGTATAGGCATTAATTCCATCTTTAGAGAAGTCAAAAATGGCAATATTTAATCGTGATATTTATTTTATTTGATGATTTATGATTATATTGGGAATTGAAATATTCCATATTGTGGTGAAAAATTATAAAGGATGTGAATAAGATTATTCTATTTTTTTAATTACATTTTTTTATAAATTTTATTTTATAATTGCACTTTAAAAAAGCTACATTATTATTTTGTGTATAAGTTAAGTTGTTACTCATAAGTGTTAGGTTTTTATTAATTTATGCATTTACTTTTGTTAGTGTATATTAAATATTGTTGAGTATATGAACATACAGAGAGTGGATAAATTTTTAATTGCATAATAGCACATATACTTTGCACTGAAATTATGAAAAAATTTAATATTTTGTTTCTAGTAAGAGCATATCCTTTTAAATTTACTTAGTAATATAAAATGACTTGATAAATTATCTTTGATCACTAATTATGTGTAAGTACACGCGATTATTTATTATTGCTTGAAAAGAGGGTTATCGGTTACAGTTGATTTCATTGGTGGATTTGATCCTCCATTTTGGTAAGTCCGCTTAATCATGTTAATTGCACGCAACATATATATTTGTCTATATCTTATGGCACGAATAAATAATGTTTAATACGTACGATTATGACGCTACAGAGTGTACTATTATGTTTTAACACGTAGCGTTATAAAACTTTTTGCATCTTGCGATTTGTGATTTATATCTATTATATTATTGGCATTTTATCATTAGTATATTATATTGTTCAAGTAGCATTTTCTTTATCTTAGCATGAACGATAATATATTTTAATATCTAGAAATGACATGTCTTAAATGTTATATATGTGGTATTTCTATGCAGCAAAAAAAGATATTTAAGAATTTTATAATTGAAGGCAAAATATATATTATATATTAAGCAGACTGTGCCATGTAACAGGACCGAATGTTACATCTATGAACTTCGCGAGAGATGCGATATTTCTTCTTCGTAAAATATTTCTTCGACCGATGATTAACTTATATCCCCCGCCTGTCGTCAGTCGACCTCGACCTAATACGATGGATTCTTGGATGATATTTCAGTTGACTTTGTCGGAGGCGATGACTTTGGGCTGGCAGGCCACACGCCGTTGCATCCTATGTACGTTAGCTACTCGGCTCTTCCACCACCCGCATATTCCCACAAAAATTCCGCACAAAATCATTACTCGACCGGCACAACTAGCTCTCAACACTCCGCCTATCGCGAATCGAGCTTCCCGAAACACGGCGGCGAGAAGCTGCTGGGTTCCTCCGCGCGCGGCAAAAGCAGCTTCGTCAGGAACGACACGGTTCGCAGCAACAGCAGTCGCTCGTCAAGTCGCGATTTTCAGAACCCGGATTTCTCGGTAGATTATTCGAATCCGTTGGACCACCTGCAGCGGCCCGTGTCCCCCGTGTACGACGAGTACGACGAGACCCTGGACAGCGCCGCTAAGCTGCGATATCAGAAAAATAAGCTCTACTATCCTCAGTCCGTCAAGTACAGTCCGGTCGCGCGTATCAGGTCGTCTCGTCCGATCGCGACGAAGCAAGCCAGAAATCCGGTCGTCAAATCACGACGGGTCTTCATCGATCACGTGCGCGATCAACCTCTGAGATCCTTTTACTCCGATCCGAGATTGGCCGTTGATCAGGATCGAGCGTCGAGCGAGCTCGACAAATCGTCGTCTCGGTCGAAACGAGACAGCAGACCCGTGTCTCTGTACGCGAGTAACTTCTGAAAAACGAGACCTCTTCGGCGGTGTTTTTTTTGCACTTGATCACTCGTTTCTCTGGAAACAACTTGTGTGATGACGCTTTTTTTCGAACGCAATCGACAGATAAAACAATTGTCTCTGAAGGTCCCTACCGGTCTTCAGCTCTCTTATTATAGCGAGAAGAGTTACGAAAATTGTATAGCTTATACGAACTTCTATATTGCCGTGTATACAACATCCATGTGCGGTACGTGTAACATTATAATTCCTATACTTGCCAAATAGATGGAACAATTAGTTGTATTAGTTAGTCCTGTAGTAGTGTAGATGTATCCCCTGATCTTTGTCGGTCTAGAAAAAAAAATCCCGAGTACTTTTCCGCGTATTATTGTGTAACTCATTAACGGTATTCTTTCATCGTATCTTGCATCGAAATAACCGACTGACTGTCGAACTAGGTGTGTTCAGTAGCATTTTTGATCGTTTATTCATACAATCAGTGTGACTTATCTACTAATTTGTAAATGTTGCTTATTTATATACATAGGGTAATTTACATCACACACACACATACACGTACACATAAAACATTTACTCCTTTTACACAAATTTGATATATGTACACAAATGAATAATTAAGGTATCAATGCTGTGATGACACATACGATAAAATTTATTAATTTTATCATGGCCACCATCTTAATGATAATGATAAGATTAGTTGTTTGGGAGAGGCTAGAAGACGTTTGTTTGTACAGAAAAATTACAGAAGAGAGTATATACTTAGATGATAATTGTGAATTATTTATTTTATAAATGGTTTACACACGTATTGTGCTCTCCTAACATAGATCAACGAGTACGCCTTGATGTATGTACTGTGATATATTATATATATATATGTAGAAGTTGTTTAATATCACACATAGAATATAGAATATTTTATCTCTCTATAATAATATATAAAAATAAATTGATTAGAAATTGAAATTGGAATTTGTATGCATCGAGAAAGATCATTCACTGTACGTAGAAAAACGTATTTATAGTAAAAGCATGACTAGAACGTCTTATTTAAATATGAAGTTTCATCAGCTTTATCTAATACCAGTTTTTAAGTTTGTACGAGAAATTGACGAAAACTACATTGTTTTGCACTAATATTCTTTCCAAATTTTCTCTATGTGTGTCAAAAATAATTCATTTCTATAGAATTTTGTTGTACGCCAGATATACATATACACATAAATGGATAAGGACTTTAAGCTGATACTCTATGAAATGATTAGACTGCTTTTTAATTAGCTTATTTTAGAGTTCAGTTTTCAGTTTGACCCGGTGCTATGAACACTTTTTATTGTAGAATAGTAAAATAGATTTAAATGAGAGCATAATATGCGACTTGTCGATTTTTTTCTTTTTTGCAAGTCTAAATAAAAGTTTATACAACGTACTTATAATTATTATATATTTATTTTGAATGTACACAATTATAAAAACAAGTTCTTTGTTTAAATTTTATATAAATCTGTTATTTTTTGTTATAATAACAATTAACTTCTAATTAACAATAAATTCATATTTTACAAGAAATCATTTATCAAAAATATGATTTTTGATAAAAATATATTGTTGAAAAGAAAATATCAGAAAGAAATATATAACACGGTTCGTCTCAAATAATTAATTTTTAATTTAATTATGAAAGCTGATATGCTGAGCTACAATATTTAATGATGACAATCATGCTCGATAAAATTTAAATATACATATGTCATTCGCGTTGTGTTTTGATTTCGATTACACAGTTAACTGCACAGTTCGCTGCAATTATCTCGTCCTCGCAAAAGATGAAAAAAATTGATGAATCGTTCTAACGATCTCCCTTTTGTTAGTAGTGCATGGTAGTTGTGGTAGTTTTTTTTGTATTTTTCAATTTAGCAGAGTGTCAAATATATATTTTCGTATCCCTTAAAGTTTTCGTCGTAGTCGTCTTTGTAGAACGAATACGCAGTGTATCTAAATGTATAGATTAAGTCACGGTAATTATTAGGCAAATTATTCACTATATATGGGAATATTTTTAAGACGGAATTTTTCGTTCTAAGACTAAGGAATGTCAAATTTCAAGACATCTCTTTTGGCAAACAATTTAAAACAATTTCCTATTCACTTTGACGTTTCTCATATAAGTGACTGATTTTTGCGTTATGTTATATAATAATTTGATACGAAATCTGAAGTGACAGCAGAAAAAATATATATTCATTAAATTACATACATTAGTGTTTATAATTACATACATTAGTGTTTCGCGTAAATCAGGAAGTAGTTAGCATGTTAATAATTAGTTATTATGTCGCTTATATAGAAGACTGCTCTATAAGAGAAATATATAGATATAGTTTACAACTCTCTTTCTCTTAAATTTTATATTTACACATTAAAAAAAAGAAATAGTAATTATATTTTTACGAATTAAATATTTTGACGCAATATATATGTAATATGATTCTTATTTTTGAGAAAGAGAGAAATAGTTACATATTATACACAATCTTATTTATAGAGCATAAGTAGAGATGAAAATTATATTAAACGTGCAAAACGTTGTATATATTTGTTTTTACATAGTTACTTATATAAAAATGTATTAGAGATGATAGAAAAATTTATTTATTGAATATGAAATATGCTTATTTTTCTCTATGATGACACTTTAGATAAAAGACTTCTTCTTTAAACAAAGTAAAAAAAATGACACAAGATTTCTTTGTCACTTCAGATTTATATTTTTGATCAAATAAAGTCTCTATTGAGCATCTCGAGTTTGTAATGCATATTTATCTTTTTCTTTTTTTTAAGATCGTTATTATTAATTTTGTATTTTACTACTGTATCACATTTATTTACTTTGGTGCAGTTAATTGGGAACAATAAATATGCAATGCTACTATTTGCTTGCTTTTTTATTTATTAACCCTTCACTCTCTTTTTTCTCTTCCTGTTCTAACAATTTCCTACTGTGCGGTTTATGGGGAATCTTTTTCTCTACATTTCTTAGTCATCATTAAATCTGTAGTTTCAATTGAACGTCTAATGTCTTCTGGAATTTCTGATGATATATTTTACAATATAAATATAATAAAAATATAACTTGCAAGAAAAATTAATTATTTTCTCACACAGAGACTACCCATTTAACTTATTTCAATCTAAAAGAATATTAATATAATAAAGTGCAGGATTTTTTAAAATACAAATACATTAATGAAAATAATAACTAAAAGTTATCATTTTTAAAAATAAAATTTCAAGACAAAATAAACAAGATATTCACATATTTAATACCGATATAAATATTTTTACGCGCTAAAAAGACAAGTTTTTAATTTATATAACAATTCTCATTGTTTTAACAGTACTTACCAAAAATTATATCGCATAATTGATGTTCGCTTTAATAATTCTTAACATAATCATTTGATTATAGCAATCGTGAATGGACGGGAATAATAAAGGCAATCGCGTTGCAGAACCTTTCTCTCTCTCTCTGACCGCCTCTCTCTCTTTCTCTCTGTTTCTCCGACAGTACGAACTAAGCGGAAGAAGAAGCAACCGCGGCCGCTGTACAGCATCGAATACTCGCAGCCGGAGCCGCCGGAGCCCCAGGACGACAGCAGCGTGTCGCCGAAGCCGATGACACCTCGTCGGGTGAAGCGACGTTCCGTGATTTCGCGGGACGGCACTCGACGTTCCGGCACGCGACGCAGCTCGGTACGTCAGTCACGTCGCAAGAACCCGGTGAACCGCATCATGGACCACCAGGAGAACCTGTACGCCAATACCGGCATCGGCATCGGCACCCTGACGAATCAGAACGTGAGCACGCTGTCGCAGGGTGATCGTCCGCTCAACTACGACCGGATCACCATCGGCGGCTGGGACCGGGAACGGAACAACCCCGTTGACCGGAACTGGCAGCCGGAAGCGGTCAACATGGCGGTGTCGTCGCCGAATCTGTGGCCACCGCCGCCGCCACCGTCGAACCAGGACTCCTCCATCAACTTCTCGAACGCGTCGTCCGGTTTCCCGCCTGGCCAGAGTCCACCAGCCAGTGCTTGGGACCAGCAGCAGGCGACCACCAGCTCCACTCGGAACCTCACCGACAATTGGCAGACCACTTCCGGTGAACTCAGTGCCATGCAGTGGCAAGGACAGAGTAATCCCACGTTCCAGCAGACCAGCACGCAGAGTCTGAACGGCGAGGATATGGAGGACCTCTACAGCAATCGGCCAGCCAGTGCTAGGTCCAGCTACAGTAACTACCACGGTGTCAGGGCGACGCCGCAAGTGCCGAATCGCACCGACATTGTCAGGCAGAGTCAGCGACAGTTCGTCCTCAGCGGACCACCTGCTTATCAGGACACGGTAATCTGATGATGTAGTTATGATATAGCATAGCAATCTATGGCTCTTATTGGAGACCAAATGATAGGTTGGGCCTTATAGAACCATTTGCTATTTAACCAATTTTATTTAATCGGTAAGTAATGTCGTAGATCTTAGAGATAAAATGAGTGATAATGTCACCTCAGATAGGGACATCTTAATGAGAAAAAGTACTATTTTTGATAGTGCTAGTCGCGCATGCGACGAGTTCGATTCAGCAAAAAAATATTATAAATATAAAATTCAAAGAAGCTGCAATTTTTATACAATGTGCGTTACTTTAATCTTTTTGTTGGAGTCTTCAGGATGTAATAATTTCATTCGTATTAACTATATATTATTTTGATAATCGTAGTTGATCCGTGAAAAAATTGCGGACGGTTTTACTTTATTATAAAAGATTATTATAATAAAAATGGGCAAACATTGTAATTTTGCCTGTTTCAGAGCTTTACTTGATGCAGGATCGATGCGACAGATCTCTACTAACGTTGCATCGCGTTACACTGCAAAAAATGACGTCTACAAGAGACGTCAACTTTATTTAAGTCTTGACGAGCCACAATTTGCGCTCTTTCTTTCTTTCTTTCTGTCTCTTTCTTTCTCTCTCATTTAAATTATTTTGCAATATTATATTTAATTATGTCGACCATAAATTCTATGTGACATGATGAAACCATTTTCAAAACGACGTAATTGTTAAAAAGAGTTGTTGATTCGATGTTTACAGAAATTCTGCAACATAAATTAAATATTTATGCCATTTGATAAAATATATGATTCGCATGAAGGATGTCCCTTCACTTTTAGGATAAATTTACCTGACTGACGTATATGTGAAATTAATGTAATTAAGATCTGAATATCTCACGCACAGATCACACAGAGTTCTAATAGCCTTAAAATTTTACGCGTCTTTTTCATATTCTTTTTCATTGTTCAACTTTCATAAAAACTCTTTCCATTCTCATCCTATTTATATTATAGAATTAATGATTTTCTTATTTTATCGTGTAAAATCAAAAAAATCATCGCACATACATCTGTACATATAGATTTATAATCATTCATCAAAACATATTTTCGACAACATAACAACATAGAAGACAATCAATTTCATTTATCATTTTTTCTAAGTAAGTATCATCAGCGGTTTATGCTATTTTTGGCTTGATATTAGACAATGCCTACTTTTTTTAGAGTTACGATATTTATTAATCGCAATTTTTTAAAATTTCTATACAATTTACATATATACAATTTTTATGAATATATATTAGAATTTATAGTATTGAGCTTATATAATAATACTACAGTCTTCCATTTGCATACATATCTCATCTGGATATTAGCAGATAAAAATTGATGCAATACACTTTTGTGCGTATTAGTGACAAATAATAATTTACAGAATAATGATAATAATCATATATAAAATGCCGTGTGCAATAATGTTCTGGATAATATTTTGCAATAAGAAATTTAAAACTGCGAAATTATAATGACGATTTTATGTAATTATAAAAAAATTTGCGACATATTTGAAATCTTCTTATTGAATCTATACATTTAGTTTTAGAATTTTTATCAAGTTTTAATCTCTTTTGGGATAACATTTTTTAATAAATTTTTAACTCATTCTTGTAACTTTATATGTTATAAAAAATATAAATAAAAATTATTTTTTTTTTAAGCAAGTTACAATTCAATTAATAGAGAAAATAAATTGTATATATAAAATTTTTTTTTTCTTACACATAGGCATATTAATTAAAATTTTTTTCATTGTTTATATATTTTACGCTAGGATGAAAGAGAAGGATTCGTGTTTGTAAGCGCGTCGTGAATTTCGAATAAGAGCGAAAATGGAAACCAAAGTATTAAATATCAACATACACATAAGAAACACGTGTTAACTTTAAAACTGCCTCACCTGTTTTGATCATTGTACAAGCTAGTATTAATTCTAAAACTTGTATGATGTAGATCGAATGAAATATGTAATGAAATAAATTACTTCGATCTGATTACTTATGTTAGAAGAATCTCAAATAGTTTTCTAGTTGTATATAATGTTTTTTAATCTCGAATTTTATATATACATATATACATACATACATATATATATATAAAATATTATGTACTTATAGAATGTCGTAGAATAGTTTTACACGCAGAACAGCTGCTATTTCATCAATTGCAGAGCGAATAAATATCGATGCACTCGGTCATTTTATTAAAATGACTTTTCACATTTTGCAGTACACATTACGTATCTTAAAGTTTTAAATGACAAGAATTTATGATGATAATTTGTTAATAATAATTGTTTAATTACAGCGAAATAGAGAATACAATTATTCAACAATTACATTATTCGAAGTTTAGACTTTATTCTACAGTGTATTATCGTATAACGATTGTAAGACAATAAATGGTAAATATTAATTACTATTTATCGATTCTCTAATAACCTTATAATTTATCCTTTATTCTATATTATATTTAGTTTTTATACGCAACATATACACCTGCGTACATACGGACAAACACGCATTGTGTATTTATTTTTTTTTAATTTTATATTAAATGTTCACATATTATATTTTACATATTTTTTATTTTTATTTTATAACATATTCTCGTAAATAAATATAAATAAATAACACGTGCGACACATTTACTGCGGTTTCGCGGTATAATCCACGCGGATTACGTCGATTCGCGATGAACCCGTGACATATTCAAGATCAGCTAGAGAATATTCCGTACCATCCCTAAACTGTGCGCATGTCTCACCGGCCGGTTTTACCTACCTTCCCCACAGACGTCCGCACGACCCTCGATGCAGTAGACGCTGATCGCCGGGACGCCAAGGGTCGTCTTTCGCGTCGTCATAGTCGTTGACACATTAAAAAATTGCACGACCGATAAATTCGACATAAGATTTCATTAAGAGATTTCAAAAACCGGATTCGAAAATTTGGTATGTTCGAAACGTTGAATTAATGCGAGTGAATATTTCACGGTTCAAAGTGCGAAACACAGCGACATTTATGGCGCGTTCATGTAGTGCTACATCGATCAGAAAATTTGGGTCAACGGAGAGAAGAGTTTAAGGATTTTTTTTTACGACTTATTTACGACTTTACGAATTATTCGAACTCCGTTTTTTTTTGATAATTTTTTTGCGTGGCATAATTTTATACAAAGTGATCAGGGAGAAAGAGGCTTTACTATTAAAGGGTAGTGATGCAAGGAGCGAGGATGCTGAGGATCATGAGAGTCGGGGTCAATGGATTCAGAGGATTTCATTCTTCCAGCAAGGTAGAAACATATTGTAGAAAAAAGGGAAAAAATTAAAGAGTGAATTATTAAATAAAATGAAAATTTAAGAGGATTAATGGCATTCATAAATATATTTGCCTAGCAAAGGAGATGTTAAATATGGCGTTTCCAATTCTATTGCGTAATATTAAGGATATGTATTCATTTTCAAAATTCGATATTAATGTATTCACAATATATAACTGATTTATTAAATTATTATTTAAATTAATGTATATGTACATCTTGGAAAGAAAATCATTTAAAAGATTAGTCTTGTCGATTTAAACCACGTGGGTGACAATGGCCTATATAGGTGACAGAAATACGTCGTACCTCATATTGCGTCTGTTCAAGTGTTGTGCCAACGAGAGGCTTAAATTAGACTACTGCAGTTAATAGTTTGTGTACGATGTATAAGTCCAATAATTATCGGGAGTAACATAATTCGTACATATATTACAATAATGTTTATTTTACCATCACACTTCGAGAAAAATATATATTAATACACATAATATACTTATTATATTTGATATATATTTTTAAAAAATATACATATTTTAGAGACGTATAATCATACTTTTTGTATGACTTTTATTATATACGTCATTATTCATGAATATGTAATGTAAAATATAATTCTCTATTTTCTGCACATGTATATATATATATATATATATATATATATATATATATATATATATATATATCTTGTTATAAATATTGTGATATTGTTACAAAGCAAGAGAGATTTTTTCTTATTTATTTATGTTTCCTCTTAAACCGACAATTTATTTTATTGATTTATCAAAATTATTTTAAAAAATGTTCGAACACTTCATGGGATTTTGCCATGAAATATTTTTACTTTTACAAAACAGTATTATTTCTGGTCGTTCAAATAACGACAGTTATATAACAAGGCACAAGCGAGAGTAATTTTTCACAAATCTCATCCTCTTATTGCAGGAGCTTTCAATTTTCATTACGCTCTTGTGTGCGTACATAATCTCAGTGATCTGAATTAAAGTGCACGTGGCAGGCTTCCGTTTAGAATATTAGACGTTGATTCATCAAAAGATCAATACACAGCTGCCTGGCAACCGGCGCGGTCTCTCTCTGTACAAGCATAAAAAAAATAATGCTTTCCTCAGCTGTAGCATGTCGGATTTTTTTTTTATATAACAAAAAAGAAAAGTTAGCTCAAAATCACGCTTATATTTTAACATACAAATAATTATAATCTCGCTTCTTAAAGAAATAAATGAATAGTACGATGTCAATCGTGCGGCTAATTTTATTCAATCAATAACTCTTTAATTTATGCAATTGGAAACAGTTTTTATAGTTTCCCTTTTTAATTGTCATCAAACGATTTTCGCGATTTCGCAGAGACATGATGCTGTGCCAGCATCCACGAGATTTGGAAATGTAAAATATTTGGACGCCGCTCTTGGAACTGCAGTGGAAGAAAAACATTCTCAAACACGGTAAGAGGAAATAATTCTTATTCGCATCGTTAATTTAATTTTCACATAAGGAATTAAACAAAAATATATTTAAAAAATTTTATCAAGAAGTAATATGAATCTTTTTACGAATTATATATCAAATATTTGATACACGTAATTCGCGCAAGTATTCATTTTGATATGCATTTTATTGTGATCGTCTGTAAAAAGAAAAATATAATGTAATACTAGAATGTAATTAAAATATGAATAAAAACGTAATTGATGTATTACAAGTTACAAGCAATATACACGTAGAATTCATTTTATGTAAGGGAGGCATATAGTGATCATCATGCAATAAATTTATCAATACAATATAGAATCATTTTAATCTATTGACCCATGACAATTGTTAGATCAAGCGTTATTATTGGCTATTATTTAAGTGCATTTAGCAATGCGCGATCTCTTACATCGCGACTTTATCTGTCATTATACTGAAGTTGAGAGATCTCGCAAGTTCTACTTAAGATTATACATAAAATATATTATATATACATATAAGATTGAACGTCAAAATATTAGGTTTTTTATAGTGATTGTGTGATCCGTGTCTATTTCCTTTTATTTGAAATTTGTAAAACCAAAGTAATGGAGTTCGAATTCAGTAATTACTACGTTAACACAATCAGTGATTTCAAAGAACTTCCGCTAAGATGTTTTCGGTAAGATAAATTTATTTTTAAGAACTTCTATAATATTGTTATTTTATTTTTACTCTAGGAACAATTCAATTATATATAAGAGTTTGATAGACAATATTTATTAAACGGACATAAAATATTAATTTTTATTAAATAATTATATTAAGTATTTCTGCTAAAAAGGAAAATAGAAAAAGCAAGAAATGTTTTTTAAATAATTTGTAATTCTGCAAGTTATAAATTTTTGATTTTACAGAAATAAATATTCAACATTTTCTCAATTTATCTATTTTTTTATAATTACAATTTTATTATTATTCTTTTATTATATATTTTTTATTATATATATTTGTGTGTTATTTATTGCACAGTTTTAGTTAAACGTGTATAAAGTCCAAACATGTATATGAATACTTTTCTTATCGATCAGCTGACCTTTGTCCCATTCCTTTTTTCCCCACATGGAGCTTCTATATTCTAGCTCTAATTGACTCTAATATATCAAGCAATTATTTGTGACTGGTTTCTGTTTGTTACGATTATTCGTCATCGAACGCAAATCACACGTTGCTCTTCGCTCGCAAGATGTCACATGCACTAATCAAATATAAATGGCAATACTATTTTAAGATATGTATTTTGTCATCATCGTGGGGGGGCAAAAAAGAAAAAGTTTTCGGATGATATAAGAATCCCGGAATATTCCTGCAACTGATAAATCACGATTTTGCCAGCAATCTGCAAGACGTGTTAGACGGTCTCTACATTTTTTTTACACATTAATTATATATTATATTTTGAGAATTTTCTGGATTTTGTAGTGATTGCTAATCATATCTTGTGATCAAAGTGTGTTATAATTCTAAAATATTTTATTATAAATATAATAAATTTATAACAAAATAAAAAAGCAATATCGTATATTAAAATATAAATCAAACACTTTATTTAACATAATATATACAATTAATATAATAGCCTCAATTAATACTTGTAAGGCTTACAAATATTATTGTGTTGATTCTCTCTTAACGAAGTGCAAAGCAAAACAACCAATATGCCTTACATCGAGGCAATAGAAGATTGCGATTCCGAAACGAAACCTAATCGCGATTCCAAAATGAAACCTAATCGCGATTCCAAACCGCAACCTAATCTCCAATTGATTAAATTCTGTTCCGATGATTATGTGATAAAATCGAAAGTTGCGTGCTCGATTTGGTTAGAGAAGAAAAATGATCCGTCTTCGAAGATGTTAGCGCGCTTCCTTAGGTATAACATTAACAATTATTATTACTAATGTGAAATCGTTTGTCTTGCTTCTCGTTACAGCGAATACAGCTTCATTCATGACAGCCACTATATGTAGTGAGTACTATGCGCTACATTAATGCATGGAGTTGGATTTAAATTGCTCATTGATAATTAACGGCATAGCACTTAATGCTATTTCACTGATAACATCATAAATACATCATTGATAATTACATCAAAGTCACATTTAACTGTTCTCTACTCATTGCTTCTTGAAGTAATCTAATTTATCACTTTGCCTATAATATATTTGCTTCGAACAATGCATGATGAGAATTTTACGTTTAACAAACAATGACTTGTAAATGATAAATGAAATATTAATATTAATTTTATTGACTGTTTAATCGTAAAATAATTTTTTATTTGGAATATTTAACGATTATTTTTTATTTGGAATATTTAACAATAATGTATTTTAGCACTCATTATTTATGCTCAAAGTATATAGAAAAATACACAGTTGTGAAAAATATTAGTCATATTGTTATTCTGTAATAACAACGACTAATAATTATATTAATATTTTATAGTACTCGAGATCAAGATCAAGCAACGAACGCTGAAGATGCTTTATTCGACATGTTTAAAAATGAAGAAACTGGCCTCGTAACGGTGGGAAAATTTCTAGCTGTATGTATAATCAAATTCATATACATACATGTTTTTCTAATATGTTTGCAAAACAATTTAAAAAGAAGAGAAATTGACGTCTTTTACGTTGCATTCAAGGCTTTAAGGATAACCGGCTTGCGGAAAAATGATCCTCGTCTGCAAGAACTTACGGATAATTTGAAAAAGGAACATGCAAAGACAGGTCAAGAAGGTATATCACACGAAACGCAAAAGCTAAATAGAGAACAATTTAGAAGGTGAGTTTACACAATCTCAAACAGATGACATACATTTTAAGTCAGCAAAATATAACAAAAACTTTATAGAGAATTATAATTTTTTAAATCTCGATATATAATTTATTCTTCTTTTATAGATATTTATCACTAGTAATACCAATTTATCTCTTATTTCGAGTGCTTAATCACTTATTTCGAGTACTTAAATTACTGTATATCAGTATTTTAAGTACTCGAAGTAAGTGATTAATTGGCGGTTACTAGTGATAAATTTCTACAAGGGTTGAATATTTTTATACATATTTTTCTTAATAAAAAATAATATAATATTTTTTTAGGTCTGATTTATGATGAGAAATATTTTTAATACGTTGTTCCTCTCTGTTCCCAGAATTATAAATCCCAATATCGTTCTGATCTCACGAGCGTTCAGGCACCAGTTCATAATTCCCGACTGGCTGGGTTTCACGAAGCACATCGAGGATTTTTATTGGAAGTGCAAGACAAACACCGAAGGCAAGGTCGCTTCCTATATACCGCAGTTAGCCAGAATGAATCCGGAATATTGGGGCGTATCTGTGTGCACCATTGATGGCCAGCGGTTCAGTATCGGCGACACCTCAATTCCGTTCACCCTTCAAAGTTGCAGCAAACCTTTGACCTATGCGATAGCCTTGGACAGATTGGGTCCGGAAGTGGTACATCAATACGTTGGCCAAGAACCGTCCGGTAGAAATTTTAACGAGCTTGTGCTCGATTATAACAGTGAGTATTGCTTGATACTATCTATAAATTAATTAATTAGTACACAAACATGTTTGATTGGTCAATTAAAATATAGAAAATATAAAAATATAAAATATAAAAAATACTTTAAATACTAATATTTTTATGAATTTCAATTATGATTAATTTCTGTTAATGAATATCTTTTTCAGAGAAGCCACACAACCCTATGATAAACGCCGGTGCGATACTGATTTGCTCGCTTTTGAAAACATTAGTCAAGCCGGAAATGGGCCTGGCAGAAAAATTCGACTTCACGATGAACTACTTCAAAAGATTGGCCGGCGAAGAAAGTCTTGGCTTCAACAACGCTGTTTTCTTATCGGAGCGAGAAGCGGCTGACAGAAATTATGCTTTAGGATTTTATATGAGGGAACACAGTTGTTACCCAGACAAATCAAATTTGCGCGAAATTATGGACTTCTATTTCCAGGTAAATATGTCTTTTTTTTATAAAATCGCAAAAACAAGTAAAGTATATTACTATTAAATATTTCTTCGATTATTAAAAATAAAAAATTATAAATTTTTTGTATTGTATATTTATTTAATAAAACATTGAAATTATCGAAATCTCTTTTTACAAAATAAATGCAAGTTTTCTTTAAATTTTTATAGTGATATTTTAGTGTATATTTAAAATGCACACACTTAACAATATTTACTTTAATTTCATTTATCTGCAATATTGAATCGGAGTGAATTTTTTCTTTTATTCTTTTCGATAAGAATAATGTACGTACATGGCGTTGATAATATCAGTCTATCTTTTATAGATGTATTAATAAATTTTATTTTTTTTATATAACAAATTTATTTTTATTATCAAGTGCTGCGCCATGGAAGCAAATTGCGAGACGATGGCAGTGATGGCAGCCACACTAGCAAACGGCGGCATATGTCCGACCACCGAAGAAAAAGTCTTAAAACCGGACAGCGTTCGTGACGTATTAAGTCTTATGCACAGCTGCGGCATGTACGACTATAGCGGGCAATTCGCATTCAAAGTAAGTTCACATAAAACTACGTCCGGTATACCACTTACGTCACAATGATCGAAAGCATTTTTACAAATTAAAAGATTCGTATAAACGTTTTATTAGCGATTATTTTATATCCTCATATATATATTAATTTATTTTATTTATTTTTAATTTGGTTTTTATTTTATTTATTTAATATATAAAAATGTATTATTGTTTAGTGTATGTATACTTGCTTTGCGTATCTGCTTTATAGATGTATTAATTATTCAATAAAAACATACGTTATATTAATAAAGAATATAATTTATTCTAGGTTGGTATACCAGCGAAATCTGGTGTGTCAGGAAGCCTTCTGGTGGTAATTCCAAATGTTATGGGAATATGCATGTGGTCTCCACCCTTGGATCCGCTTGGCAATTCCTGTCGCGGTGTGCAATTCTGCGAAGAGCTCGTGCGCGAATTTAATTTTCACAGGTATCGTTAAAATTTAATCAATTAAAAATTAAATCTGACACGGAAAAACAATATAAGAAGATGAAGAGGAATTAAAAAAAAATATTTCAAACTTTAAAAAACTAAAATAATTAATGTTTTGTTAAATACTTGATACAATTTTTTAAGAATGTGTTCTTGATATTTTGATTAATTATGGGATATCCCTTGAATATTTGTCTCATTGTCAGTTTTATTTAGTCTGCATCATGAATCGTAGACGATGCATGATCAAAATTTGAACTCTGGCTATTCTTCGTCATCGATCTTTCTCATATCAATTATTATCTATTTGTTTATTATGTGATCATAGATATGATAACTTGAAGCATGCGACGAACAAAAAGGATCCTAGACGGCACAAGTATGAGACGAAAGGCCTTTCGATCGTTAATCTTCTGTTCAGCGCTGCCAGTGGTGATGTCACAGCGATGAGAAGGTGACATATTCTTTTAAGGAACCTGTTTAACAAAGACAAATGCACACGCGCGCGGAAATGTGTGATTATTTTATTTTTTTCCGTCACACAATGCTTCTACATTTGACAGAATTTGTGTGTAGAAGCTGCAATAAGAAACATGTCGAGACAATATTATGTGTCTTCGTACTTTTGTTAACAGTATTGCTTATAACAGAATTAAAAAAAATTATTTTATTTATTTATATTTAATATAAAAATTTATTATACTTGCTTTTGATTTACATTTACTAAAATCATGCGAAAACATCTTGCGAGAGAAAGACTTGCTTTGAAAAGAGTTGCTTTGAAAAAAAAATTATAATTACTATATGTATATATTATAAATATATTTATTACATCGAATCCTCGTAATTTCAGACATCGACTAAGCGGGATGGACATGACTTTGTCGGACTACGACGGCAGAACCGCGTTGCACTTGGCCGCCAGCGAAGGTCATCTGGATTGCGTCGAGTTTCTGATCGAGCAGTGCGGAGTCCTACATAATCCCAAGGACAGGTAAGCGTCATGCGACGTGCTTCAAGATCAAGTGTCTGCCACAACGGTTGTTTTCACAATTTTGTGCACTGATATAGATAACATAACTTCACGATTACGATGATGATTGGGTCTAGCGCGATCATTTTCAACCACATAATACTTTTTATTTTTACTATCGTATATTATAAAATTATGCTTCTCAGTATCTGAGTATTTATCGCTACCTTTTCATTTATGAATTATTAAATATATCCCAACTTAATATTTTCCAAATTAGAATTTTAATCTTATATGTGCTTCTTTTTACTGCTCAAAATTTTTTAAATACGACATTGTTTTTTATTTCACTCAGAAAATTAATTTATATACACTTTTTTCAAAATAATTAAGGGATTTAAAAAATGTCAAAAATCAGCAAATTTTAAATATCATTTTCACTTTAATCGTTCATAACTCTGTTAAAAATCATCGTACAGCAACTTTAAGAATGGATTCTTAAAGCTGAATCTTTGCTCTATAGTATGATATAGAGACTGAATTTTTTTAACTCGTGAACTTTTTACAAACGATGATTTTTAACGGAGTTATGAACGATTAAAGTAAAAATGATATTTTCTCTTTAATTTGTGATAACTTGATAAGGAAAGATCGAAATTTAAATTTAAAAAAAAAACAATTTTGCAGGGAAAACTTCAGGCTTTAACGTGAAAATGTCAAAAAATTTTTCAAATCTTGTAGATGCGACATGTCTACAAAGTAAGAAGAAATTTTTCCATTTCGTTATGTTCGTTATTTTCTGTATGTGAAAATATCAGAATTGAAGAAAATGAAAAAGTTATGACCTTTTAAAATAGAGATTTCAAGCTTTAAAAGCCTTTTTTAAAATTTAAATTATCATTTTTCGAAACAAAGTTACAGCTATTTAAAATTCGCTAATTTTTTTTGGACAATTCTTTTTATCTCTTAATTATTTTGAGAAGTGTATATTTATATATTTTTTATATTTCTTACATATTGTAAATTTACATATTTATATATTTTATATATACACATGTCTTATATGAATTTTAAATATCTTTTTAATTGTATGCGTATGTATATATTTTTAAATGAATGACTGCAGCATCTAATAAAAGTGCACGACTCTCGCTATGGCAAAGCTTTCATTTCTTAAATCCAAAATCTGAATTTAGAAAAATATACATACATCATATTTTTAGATGGGGCAAACGACCAGTCGACGAAGCGGAAACTTTCGGGCATATGCAAGTAGTAGAATATTTGAATAACTATGCTCTCGCTCACAAAACCGAGCTAGAGAACAAACAGAACGAGACTGATGACGAGAACGAGTCTAAAACGCAAGACACAGCGGTGCAATCGCCATTACCGTAAACAATAATGAGCGACGAATTTACGCGAAACTTAAGGATGGAACAAAGGATTGTGTAAAAGCTATCGAGAAAATACATTTTTAAATAGTATGAATATATTTTTATTTTAATTTTTTTTGTTATATTTAAACAACATATAACATAGATTTGCCATGTCATTTATTCGTATAAGAATTATTTGCCAATTGCACGCATTTTCTTATTCAATGTGTGCAAAGTTTAATAGGAAATTTTATATGAAAATTTACATTATCTTTAAAGGAATCATAATAAGGGAGCAATAATTTTTATCTATTATTTTCAAGATGTGTTAGAGTATTAGAAAATACATATAACATGACTTTGTTTTACTTATTATATTCGATATAATCTCGATAGCACACTCAGATTAGTAGAAACTGTGATTGATATTATGTTACGCATGTGCTTTTTTATTTAATTATTTTAGCATTAAGAGTTCCTAATAATGAAGTGTTTGCTTCATCGTTTTATTAATTTCTATATTTTTTATTTATCTCGTTACATTCTATTGCTAGAGAAGTCTATTATTTTTTAAAATAGTCTTTATTTTATTATTCTGTTTGTAAATATAATTTAAAAAATCCGATTTAACATATCAAATTATAAAAAAATTAAGTATCCGGTTTTTAAATTTGATAAAATATTCTTTGCACAATTGTTTCTTAAATAAATTAGACGAAATAGGAAATTTTATATCGCAAATAAATTTTTAAATAAGTTTTCCAATTATGTTGTTCACAATATTAGGAAATACATGTAACACACACATACACACACAGATGAGAATAAATTCTCTTGTCTTTTAATACAAGGTCTGCCTTAAAAACAAAGAGGGTATAACTATTTTGGGAATAAATTTACGAATCGACTTGTTCAATAATGATACATATTACACTACGAGATAACAAAGTACATTTAAAATCGAAAAAAGATACTACTTGTACTTTAAAACACAAGTTATATGAAATTGACTTTATTAGAAGAAAATTCTTTTTTAATATTTCCATATTTTCCCATTTTCTGGAAGATTAACAATTTTACATTAAAGTTAATATTTACTTTAAATAATGTAAAATCAATGATTCTCGTCAGATGTTGACAATCGATATCATCTCGATATAGCGGCGCTTGTTATTCTTCCATTTAATCGTACAATAATAATTTAATAACAATTTTACAATGGCGCATAAAATACACGCGGATAACGATTGAATCGGGAAATACAGATGTTATCTCATGGATTATTCTTCGTAATAAGTCGCGCGCGTGAATCGTGCGTTAAACATATCTTTCTAAATATGTTTCTCGACGCGTTTTAGAGATTCCTCGCAGATATAAAATACTATATCCGTCTTAGAAATATTTTCTATTTCGCAAGCGTCCATTATGCGAGAAAAATCAATTAAAGTATTAATACATATGTCACATACAATGTATATAAATATTATATATATATATATATATATATTATCTCCTAAACAAATTTCCTTGTTCTTTAATTTCTAAAAAGATTTTATATTTTAAAAGTTTAGTAAATTTACATTTATATTAAAAAAAAAATTTTTATTAAAAGTATCTCGCGCGCATCGATGGATGATGAAGAAACGGGCATTGGCGTGAAAAGAATGTATAATGCTTTTAGGATATGTCTCCTGTAATATTGTTCGCTACGATATAGAAATATATATACGTTGTTCTCACACACACAGACACATACACCACACACAGAGTTTAAATAATTGACATATAACGTCAATTCGAATGTGTATAATTACTTCTCAGTACATGAGTGATTATTTTTATCGACTGTTATCGACATCGTGCTGTTTAAATGTGTCGACAGGCTGCAAAGGCTGCAAGAGTCAATTTTTCGCAATGTGTTAATCAAGGATTGCGATTACGCTAACGTAGCGATTATCTGTATATTCGATGTATATTAGGCAACTATTTTCGAATGATAGAATCGCTTTACGTAGAAGAATACTCTACTAGATATTATATTTTCAAATAAACAAAAATGACAATAATAATGTTATACTTAATACAATAATAATATTATAAAACAATATTATTATCGTATATAAGAGCTTGATGTGGGATGTGAATATGTGATTCCATCATTTTTCCGTCAATGAGAAACATTTATGAATTTATGTTATAAATGCATAAATTAGATTTATACATTTATTAATTTTTGAGAGATGTATGTTTTTTTATACACAATTTATTCGCAAAAGAATTAGTTTTAGTATTAATAGATGTGCGATAAGTTTAATTGATGATAGATTCTTGCATATTTTTGTATAACTTTTGATTTAATGATTATATTATATGATTTTACGTTGATCTTTAATTGTGCAATGAAAAGTTGATATAAAAGTCAATAGTCTCGAATTTGCTATAGAATATTTTACTTGTTTAAATAGTTGATATAATGTTTTTTAATCGAGACCGAATTTCGATGATACGTCTATGTGTATACTTGTTCAATCTAAAAATAAAATATTTGAAAAAAATAATCCGGATTTATTAATCATTCGTATAATATATTGATTATTTGGCGTGAATATTTTTATTACCAAGGTATACTAGTTAAAATTAAATTTCAGCGTTTTCATCAATCAATGTCGAATACGTCAATCAGATGATTGTAAAATATGCGGAATAATGCATGTATATGATAATATTGTAGAGATAGCGGATGATCAAATCATCAAATAAGTATTAAACGAGCTTCGTACTTTCATGACGTAATATCATGGAGAACGTAAAAACAAGAAGACTAGAAGGAAGTAATAAACAATAATATCAAAAAATGAAGATTGCCTTCGACCTCAACGTTGCTTACTACATCAGTGATTTCATATATTAGTCAAACATGCTGTATATGTGTTTTAATCGATGCGAAGTAAAGGCAAATTAATTCTTACGATTTAAACGAGTCACATTAAAATGTTAGTACACTGAAAATGAACACAGTAAGACACGCTAAACGAGAGGTTGTTGTATGACAGCATTATTAATTAAAAAAGTAAAATTATATCATAACTGGTATTAGCTAATGGTCATTGTTAACGTTGTGTCCTCGACGACAATATGCGTTTGTTTGTAATAATGAAGAAGAAAATTTACACAAATTACAAAGATTAAATTAAATTTTCTTACACGTGATTATCACTTTATTTAATTATTCTTGAACGTATCAGAGAGAAAAAATATAAATAATTGTAATGGAAAATTGATATACATTTATAATAATAAATTTAATAAGACTATTTAATAAGGGTAAGTTATATATAAAATATAATGTTAAATATTATATATAAATAATTAAATTTAATATAATGATAAATTAAAGAATTGTAGCATAGCAATACATTATAATTTATAGTTCTAATGTAAATATATAAATTTATAAATTAATTATAATATGTTCTAATCAAAAGTATTTAGGTCATATAATGCAAGCAACGCTAGTAACAATACAATTCTAAATAATGAATGATTAATAGGCCTTCACTGCCCACGGAATGTACATACACGGATTACGTCATCGTCACATGTAAGTAAAAACTACACATCGGTGATATCGCAGTTAAAGCACGCAAGTCAAACAGTTGGGTTTTCCTGACCGATGCCAAATTTTGTCGCCTCGTTGAATTATATCGCGGAAGGTGAGTCATTAGAAACGCTGGAAGGTTTCCCGTGGGTTTTGCATTTGCATTCATCATACAATTCTATTCCATTACATCAATGATATTTTATCTTGATCGATCAAACTTGATCCGATCTGATTCATTCGCGAACAAATTATTTCCTTTGTATTACACATATCTTTCTTAAGATCAAGTATTATTTAAGAAGTATTTTGAAAGCAAACTAGTTAAAAGCTTTTAATTTTTAATTTTATCTGATCTCTCTTAGAAATTGTCTCTGATTTCTTTATCAGAATTGTAATTCATATAAAAAGATCTGTTATTAAATAAGTTAGTATTTTATGAAATTATGTTTATAGAGAGATAAATTGCGATAGAGAAAAGATAAAAGAAATTATTATATAAAATAAGAATTTAATTAATCGATATTTATCTTTGTAAAAATTAGTGTTTGATAGTTCAAATCTAGAATTATATATAAAAAAAAGTATTATTGTAAAAATTAATTCTTCAACAATTCAAATATTGTCAAATAATTTGCATATAATTCTGATACATTTTTTGTAAATATACATATAATTATTTATAAATATGCAAATCTATAATATGCAATGTTTGATTTAAAAATATTTTCTTATATAATAATAATAATGCCAATAGGTCAAAGAAATGGAGTTAAATTAAAAGTTACAAGATTTGCTTGCTTTGGCCACGTCATGAGGGATTCCCGAATTGTTGAAATGCGCGAGGAATCCCTCGTGGACCAGTCGACATAACATCGTACAACTCGAATTGATGATTAGAAAATCATTATTTAATGATAAATTCGATCAAGAAAAATTAAATAAGTAGCGCGTTCGCGTTTATCATTCGTTTTTTATGATGACGCACGAACGGAAATAACGTACTACTATCGCGAAGCAGAAATCTGACATCGTACATATGAATATCTGTGCACGTTATGTTTAGTAACAAGGCCGACTATATTATTCGTCGAAGATAATTGTTTATTTTCCGAACATTTACTTACGTACTCGGAACGCGAAATCAGACTCGATTGTTCAATTACTTCAAAGTAATTACTCTGATTTCTTAATTAGGGGATTCCGCACATATCTAAGAGGAAAATCCAAAATTAAATTATCTAATAATAAAATGATTAATAATAAATTTAGTACATTAAAAAAAGACTACATTATAACTTATTGCGTTCTGTGTTTATTTCAGCGTTTAAAATTTTATTGATCAAAGTTTTTTATTATAGATAATAGATATGTTTTATTGCATATATTAAAATATTGATATATAAATATATAATAATAAATATAAATGTAATATAGTATATAATAAAAGTACATGTTATGTATATATATACTTATATGTATGTAATATGTATGAAGAATGTATATATGTGAGTAGTATTAATACACACAAAATCGTAACCGGATATAATGGTTACATGATGTGCAAGTCATAAACTTTTATAAATTTTATGAATTTTGTGTATTACCAGACTTCTATAGATAGTTAAAGTCGAGCTGGAGACCAGTCATTGAACTGACCTTGAAAACCGGAACGATACAGGTTTCGCAAGAAGATTGAGAATGGTATCTAGAAAATAGCCTTGTCTTTAGTTAAATTGATTATTGGTTAGTGTTGCTTGATCAACTGTTAAACATTATTCATTTAACTCACTTAATTCACTTCAACTAGGCTGATATCGGCTGAATGTAAACGATACAGTAACAATAAAACTTTATAGTCCATAAAATGCCCACAAACGTCTTTCATAAAGTGCTTTTATAATTTCTTGGAATAAGCTGTTATGAAAAATATAGTAGCCGAATTTAAAAGCGAAGAAAAGAATAATTAAAATGCAATTATAATAATAAAAATTCTGATATATTTAGATATATTTAATTAAGGCAAAATATTTATTTTTAATCGAATTTAGATAAACTTTAATCAGATGTGTTTTAATTATATAGAAATTAAGATAATAACTTCGAGAAAAATCTCGAGCAAAAATTATTCTTCTCTTGACGATATTTTATTATGTCATTGAATCTTACCATGACCCTAATATATAGATCCTCAAACAAGACTCGCATGTCACAGCAAAAAAGAAAGAGTACTTCGAGAAACTGATGCTGGTTTAACTTTTATTTCTCTTGTTCGTTCGCCACTTTCATGTGTTCATTGGTTTTCCCCATATAGGTATGCTGATTGATTTGTATGCTTGGGTCTCTCGTAAAATTAATCGAATAATTTATTAAGCTATAAATTTATAATAAAATTTATTATATAAACTTTTTCATGCGCATTTAACCAATAATATAAAAAAGACACATAAAATAAAACATGGCCAAAATCAAGATTGCACTTCCTATATATCTACATCTTCTGCATACTAGTTACAATTTCTTTTAAGATGCACGCGCGTATAAAAAAATGTAAAAAATAGCGCTTATATAGATACGGATCTACGTCAATTGGCTGTGGTCATTTATGCTAATTTTATGGCAGAGAAAAGAATTATTTTTTCTCGTAATGTTTGGTGATTGCATGTTTGTATTTAAAAACCTTTCTATAATTCTCTTATATTGCAATTTTGAAATATCGTTGTATAACAATTAATTAAACGTGACGATTCGTGCACAAGAGGCGTATCTAATTAAAATAATTTAAAGTAAAGTACATTATAATTAAAACGTTTGTAAATTAAAAATATTTATTGTACACAAAACTTTTGACTAAATTACTTATACTAGAATAATTTTTATTAATTTTTGCATAATTAATCGAGACAATGATCATTTCTATAAAATAATATATAAAAACTTGAATATTTTTTTCCACGTGATTTCAAATATCGCTTAATTTGTAATAAGACCTTTAGTTACCTGTCTACGATTAATTATCACTATATAAAAAGGAGACAGAATTCAGTGAAATTCCATATGTATGCATATAGAATTTGTCATCTTGACTGCTTAAATTGCAAATGATGTTACAACGTTGCGAAGAATATTTGGGAATTAATATTTTTCTTGCATTAAATTTATTGTGCTTATGCAAGAATTGAGAATAATATACCAGAAATAATATTCCCGGTTAATGTAAATTTCTGCCGGATAAATGTTATTTTTTACATAAAAATATACATGAATCCCGACAATTCTATAAAATCTTTATTTCATGATTTATTAAATAATACGGCTGTACATATATATACATATATTATTGTACGTACAACAATTGTAATAAAAATGTTAATGATTATAATGACAAACGTGCTATAATATTATAATAATTATTATTTTAATAGATAAAACATAATTAATCGAGATCCTTTAGATAGTTTTAACTAGAAAAAACAAAAATGTTCTCTCGTAATTATTCTGTATATTTCTATGACTTTTTTTCCTTCAAATTTTTAAAAGAATTCTCATTTACAGCTTTTTTCTAATATAAGATAATTCATAAAAAAATTGATAAAAATCAGTTTTTGCTGGATCGTTTTCTATAAAAAATTAAATGAAGATTCCGCATAATAAAATAGTTAATTAAACCACAAATCATTTTCCAATAGAATGACAAGGAATATCTTAGCATTCGAAAATGTATAAATGCTTCGTCGAAATATAAGCGGACCTTGATAGTCGATTCCATGCGCGATTATTTGAACGGCAAAACTTTTGTCATACGAGCTCGTTGGTGTAAATAATTATTTAATGTGAAAATTATAGATTAAAATTTTTCATGCAAAACAAGAAATATGACATTTCCAAGGCGATCGCACTTTTGGGAACATTGCGGAAAAAAAATAATTGTAAAATATACTAAACGCAGACGCGCATAGAGACAGCGAACGCAATGAGAGAGGAAGAGGGACAATTATTGTCCGACGTAAAATCCACGCGTGTATCGTATATAAGATGTTGTCTTCGTGAGAGAGCTTCAGTCGCTCTTGACTCTTCGACCATCGAGATATCGGCGAAACAGGCAAAACAAGACGAGATATTGTGCGTGATAGGCAAATAATCAGTTTATAATATTGCGAAAGTGTGAATCGTCATGAGATTTCATCAGTGTTTAGTGCCCGTGGTGGTGCTGCTATTAGTAAAGAATTCCTCCGCAAGACCTGGTAAGTTTTTCACTAATTGTAAAAAGAAATCCCTTTTTCTTAAAGCTTTGCAAAGAACATGGATGTTATTGTCAGGCTTCTGCCCAAATATTTGCACAATGCTAGCTTTAATACAATTCGAGATTATCGTGTCATATCAAAATAATGTTTGCTTGCGCCAAAAAGGTCAAGTCAACCATTCCTTCGTAAATACTTCTAAATTCGTTTAGCAAACAACACATTTATCGAAGAGTTTATATATTAAAAAAATTATGGAACAACTTGAGACAATTTTTATATATCACATATTATTATTCAATAAAATATTTAATATATTTATATTTTTATATTATATATTTATTTATATATTTATATTGTATAGTTTTATATTATATATTTATTTATATATTTATATTGTATATTTTTATATTATATATTTATTATTATATTTATATTGTATCTTTTTATATTATACATTGTTATTCAATATAGATATTTAATATATCTATATTATATATATTTAGATCATATATTTTTTGTTATTCAATATATACCATATAATAATTTATTTATTTGTGTAAAGGTGTGTTACGAGATTTGGTTGGCGGTAATGTTGGCTCTTTGCTGGACCCGTTGGGAATTTTCAAACCCAAGGCAAATAGCCAGGCTACAGCTAACGCCCAATCGTTAGGAGGAGGTTTAAATATCGGACCGATCGGAATCGGAGGTGGATTTTCCTCGTCTTCCGCATCGGCGTCGGCGAACGGCGGCGGTGGTTCGGCTTCAGCAAAAGCGGATGCTCAAGCTCACGGATACGGAGGATACGGAAGTTCCAATGCACAAGCTTCCGCTAATGCCAACGCACAAGGTAAGTTATATGTCGTTATAATTATTTCATTACTTTAAATAATAATTAATAATTATCGTATTATTTTATTCTCTAAGACAATCTTTTTTATTACTTATTATTTTTTCAGATATTTAAATATATTTTGATTTTCATCTTTTATTATTGTTTTATTATTATCAATATGTTAATAAGCGATACGCTTTTAATTAGGTGGTTATTCGGGAATTCCGGGGGGTTATAATGGCGTGAATGACGGTCATTACCGTCCTGGAGTCAGTCAGGTTCCCATTCAAGTGAATCGACCGAATTACGGAAGTTACGGTGGCTCTCAGTCTAATGCTAACGCTAACGCTAATGCGAATGCCAACGTTGTCGCCAATGGTGGCGGCGCGTTTCCGGGTGGCTCTTACTATCCAACATCTTCCAGACCTAAGGTCATCGGAAACGCTAATGCTAATGCACACGCGAATGCCGCTGGTGGCGTAAACGCGGGAAATTATCCTGGGATAGACGAGATAGAAGTAATTCCGGTCAACACGTTACCGATCTCTCAATCAACTTCTCCGGTATATCCAACGCCCCATCAGCCTCTCCGGCCAATTTCTCACAAAGGAGACACCGTGATCCCGATCGTTGTTGTCGAGGAATCACCAGGAGTGCAGTACCCGCCGTATCAACGTCCGGGTCCTCCACCTCATCATCATCATCATCGTCGGCCGCATTACGGGGGTAAACCAAAGCAGCAACCCGTGGAGATTATCATCGTCGAGGAATCAGCGCCTAGCCAAGGTGATACTTCATGTTCAAGCACATGATCGAAAGTCGTCATGTGATCATCGACTGGGATTATGCATTAATCGGTGGCAGCGCTGCAAATTTTCTACACTGTCTTTATGTAATTCTTCCCGATGACGAAGAGGCTCATAATTATGTCTAATTGACTCGTTGTGTCGTGATCTTTATGTATATATATATCTGTCAGCTGATATCTGTACAAATAACGCCGGATGACAACTAGAACTTTGGATCACACTGCACCAGGATTTCTGAATGCTCTGTTCCTCTGCAATTTTTTGTGTAATGCACGTGTTTAATCGTTCTATGTATTTTTCTTCTTGTCGAAATACGAACAAGTTTTACAACGGACAGAAATCAAGGAATCATTATGCAAATCAACAGATATTTCCTTTGCATTTGTATTGTGATCTAATCGAAGATTGAAACTTTATTTTATTTTACAAATGAGACTTTTTAACGACTAAGACTGAGAGCATGAATTTTGTGACTTTCGCATGTAACATGTTAAATTAATTTTTGTGTGTGTATGTGTTATATAGCATATCTTCATTTATGTATAATATTATTTGACGTTATACGTGACCAAGACTGAGAGCATGAATTTCGTGAATTTCGTGCTACATACTAAATTAATTTTCATATATGTACATATGTATGTCTTATTGTTAGCATATCTTTATTTATACATATATAATGTTACATTTAATAAGAATTATATATAATATTACATTAATAAATTTTAGATATAATATTATATATAAATATATATAATAATACTAATTATAATTGTAAAACAATAGAAAAAATTGAAATACTTCTTTTTCTTACAGCTGATGGTTACGGAAATGGTGGCGTTCAAGGAACATATCCTGGACAACAAGGCTCTTATGGCGGCCATGGTGGCAATCCCTTCTTATCAGGCGGCTCGAATGCCAACGCTAACGCTAACGCCAACGCCAATGCTCAAGCAGGTGCAGGCGGTAACGGCGGACATGGAAATTACGGAGGATATCAGCAAGGTAGCAATTACCCGTCAGTTCCGTCAGGTCCAATTGGCGGGCACAATCCGTTTTTAAATGGTGGACATTCCGGTGGTGATGCCACTGCTAACGCTCATGCCAATGCAAATGCAAATGCTGGTGCTACCGGACACGAAGTGGGTACAAATAATCCGTTCCTTAATGGCGGCGGATCTCACGGTAACGCGGGAGGAGCAGGAGGAAATTATCAACCAGGTGGTTCAGGTGGAATTGTTTTGGGCGAGAAGCCTAAGGGCATCCCTACGACATATCCCGGTCAATTTCCATCCGGACAACCGGGTTCAGGTGGAATTGTTTTGGGAGAGAAGCCTAAGGGCATTCCCACAACATATCCCGGTCAATTTCCATCCGGACAACCGGGTTCAGCAGGAGCTAACGCTAACGCTAACGCCAATGCCGGTAATATTGGAGGAGGACATGGTGTACCGATCAAAACTGGACAGGTATCTGGATCAGGCGGTTATGGCGGATCTTCTGGTTCAACCATTCTTGGTGGTTACGAAGGTCAAGGAGCCACTGGCGGAAACAACGGAATTGTTCTCGGAGGATCCAACGGTCATGGAACCGTTCTCGGAGGATCCAATGGTCATGGAACCGTTCTCGGAGGATCTGGAGGTCACGGAGGATACGGAGGTAGCCAAGGCAGCGGTGGATATGGACAAGGAGGCTCTCCTGGATTGAACCCTGGTGGATATGGAAGTGGTTCTTCTGATGCTAATGCTAATGCCAATGCTAATGCTGGAAGCACTGGCGGAAATGGCGGAATTGTTCTCGGAGGATCTGGCGGCCAGGGAAATGTCCTTGGAGGTCACGGAGGGTACGGAGGTAGCCAAGGCAGCGGTGGATATGGACAAGGCGGCTCTTCTGGAACCGTTCTCGGAGGATCCGGCGGTCATGGAACCGTTCTCGGAGGATCTGGTAGTCACGGAACTGTTCTCGGAGGATCTGGAGGTCACGGAGGATACGGAGGTAGCCAAGGTAGCGGTGGATATGGACAAGGCGGCTCTTCTGATGCTAATGCTAATGCCAATGCTAATGCTGGTACCACTGGCGGAAATGGCGGAATTGTTCTCGGAGGATCTGGAGGTCACGGAGGATACGGAGGTAGCCAAGGCAGCGGTGGATATGGACAAGGCGGCTCTTCTGGAACTGTTCTCGGAGGATCCGGCGGTCATGGAACCGTTCTCGGAGGATCTGGTAGTCACGGAACTGTTCTCGGAGGATCTGGAGGTCACGGAGGATACGGAGGTAGCCAAGGTAGCGGTGGATATGGACAAGACGGCTCTTCTGGTGCTAATGCTAATGCCAATGCTAATGCTGGTACCACTGGCGGAAATGGCGGAATTGTTCTCGGGGGATCTGGTGGCCAGGGAAATGTCCTCGGAGGTCACGGAGGTCACGAAGGATTCGGTAACCAAGGCAGCGGTGGATATGGACAAGGTGGCTCTTCTGGCGCTAATGCTAATGCCAATGCTAACGCCAATGCTGGAAGTTCAAGTAATGTTCTTGGTGGATACGGAGATGCCGTTAAAGGACTAGGCTCTGGACATGGAGGATTTGGTGGTCAAGGTGGATACGGCGGAGGAGGTATATTTATATTTTACATATAAATTTGTATTGCGTATTGTGTAATTGTCTGCGAGAAATAATCATTTTTCAAAACTTATGCATGCAAGTAAATCCAAATTGTTCAAGTCATAAGTATGTAATTTTCAAAATTGACAGCTAAATGATCATTATTTCATTATTATTAGACACGACATTTCTCAATAATTATTATTATATTATGTAACACCTTGTTGACATTGTCAGTCACATAACATCTTATTATATGTAAAATATCCATCATTCAAATGACCATCGATCAAACAGTGCGCCTCTTCTTAAAATCTCCAGCGCATAATTTATCCCGCATATAATTATACAAGAGATAAAAAATTATCTTAAGCTATTATCATCGATTAATGACCAAGCTCTCGAAAACGAACCGTCCTCTAACGTCACCACCACAAATCAGCCTTCAAAGTTGCACGTTGCCTGATCATCACGTCATCGCCGTGAATTTTCAGCAACTTCGTCGATCACGCACGATCTTAAACATTGTGACCACTCAACACTGCAGGTGGAGGACCTGTTTGGAAGCTTTTTAACCATTTGTGTTTGTGTTCCCACATCAATTGTCATTCGTAATAGAGCTTTTCGTGTTCGCTTTTCCACAGGCCTAAGCCCCGAGGCCGAGGCGTCAGCGTCGTCCATGGCGGAGGCTGTGGCATCCGGACTGATCGTAATTAAATGATTCGCTATTCCATCCCGCAGGCTCGAACGCCAACGCAGAGGCGTCTTCTAACGCGATCGCGTCAGGTGGTGGCTCATCCAAAGCTACCTCTGACGCTGTAGCAAATTCCAACGGCGGATCGGCGAACAGCTCCAGCAAATCCTCAGCCTTTACAAGCGGATCGGGATCGGCGAATGCCGACGCTTCCAGCAACGCATCTTCTGGGACCTACGGTAATATTGGACCGAAGAGTTCGGCCTCGAGCCAAGCGTCAGCCTCGGCCAACACCAGGGACATGCTGATCTTCAATTAAACATTGTGATACAACGAAACGTACAGACGGGAAAACCTCCCTCGACTACAAGAGCGACATAATACTCGTTATTCAAGTTTTGCTACTCCACGAGTAAACGTGACCTATACGAATATGACGTAGTTATATAGTGCCTAGTTTTTTTTATGACAAAATGTTATAGGGTTAGAAAGATATATCATGACATTATGTAAATAATGGGTTCAAATTTATAATTATGAGTTATAAATTTGTACGCATTGTACGCTTGAGAATCATATGATCGTCGAGATTCAAACTATTCTCGAAATTGGAATTAATGCAATTTTGAGAATAGACATTTTCATTTGTAAACATTTCTTGAGCATTTATTAGAGATTGCGATAAGAGTAAGATGATCGAGATGGTTTTAATATTTTTAGTACGATATTTAGAGCACTTAAAAAGACCTTAACTTAATACTTGTATTTATACGTCCGTGAATTTCGTCAGAGGCAGATCAAACATTATTTTGCTCAATATATATGACGACGATTATTTAACTACAAAATTAAAATTACGATAAAAGGAATTAACAATCCTTACAAGCAAAAGAAATGAGCTATAGACGAAATTGATGTTTAAAGTAATTGATTAATCATGACGTATCTGTCTCAGACTAAATCACTTTTATACTTGTCCGTCTTGCGATAATAGAAATGTATAAGATAATACTTAAAGCATTTAAAATGACTTTAATTCAATACTCTCTTTTACTTTAAGTTTACTTAAATTATATAGCTATCCTCTTTTTAACTGGATCTGTGATTTATATGGAACGTGCCAAAATACTGAAACATTACTATAATTATAATAAGAATATAAGAAAAAATGTATAATGTACTCAAATGTTGCGTAAAGTTTAAATCCCGATTTTTAAGTAATTGTGCTTTTATTGCTGCAGTTTTTATTTTTTGCTCTTTGCTTTGTACAATTCGTTTACATATAAAAAAATTCATGTTAACTACTGCTTCAGATCCCGAGGAATAAATGCGACTTCAATTATATATAATTCGTAAAAAATAATTTCCTAATAAAAGATCTTCGATTAAGTTAAATATATTTGCATTTTCGTGCAATTTTTCGAAATGGTAGATTAACAATATACTTTGTGTTCTGTGTCGTACAATTTTATTAGTATATAATTTATCCAGAAACATTAATTATTCGAACCAACACATCACTTACTGAATAATCTTCATTATTTTTTTCATTTTTTAATTTTATTTTATGAGAAAGATGTGATTTTATAACATTTTTTAGTTTGGTATTATAAAAATTGTTAAGCTAGATTTTCTTATGCTTTTCCTCAACGTCTCATGATGTTTAGTTAATATTTATTTATAGTACTGTTTCTTTATAAGAACGTCATTTCTATGTTTAAATTTCAATTCTTCGCTCGTCTTTAGCAAGCAAAGATTCTTCGATATTTTTTCAATTTGACGCAGAATAAATTGTATAACTTGGAGTATTTTTTTTCTGCGCACAAAAACTATTGTGCAAATTAGCCTTTGTCGTATTGCTTAAATTTTTCTCAAAACAAATCTTTACAATGTAACAAATGTGTAAATATATAGGAAATAAGAAATAAAAAAAGATGATAATTTATATCTGCTATTAAACAATAAGTATTATATATTATGTGTTAATAAAAAATAACAAATAAGCAGAAATTAATTTAGTAAATTAAAATATATAATCAAAGTAACAATACCATCGGCAACATTTCTCTTTGTCTTTATTCTCACGATGGCAGGCGTCTCTCGGAAACAACGGGGATAAGAACTCGTCGGACTTGTTTTGCGCGCGAGTATGAAAACGGAAAAGAGAATCGCAAAGATGCTGAGGAAGGAAAGAGAGAAAAAGAGTAGTATGTATATTCAAAGAGAGTCGATTCTGACGTCTGTTTGTCCAATCCCGCGCCAACTCTTATGAGATTCTAGCAATTAATACGTAATTATCAATAATTGATTTTACGTTGCATGCGTGTTATTTATTCGATGTTTTCTCGCAATTATATATCATTTATTATCACGTGTTATCGCGTGTATATGCAATGCGTATAATAGATTCGGATGCAATGCATACAATAGATCGATATGATGAAGCAAATAATAAAATATTTCCTCAATTAAGCTCACTTTTTATATTTGTATAATGAAAATCGTATCATCTATTAACATTTTATGAAAAATATGGATGATAAGAATAATTGTTAAAGTGACAAATTATCATAAATATTTTATTTTTATAGCTGTTGAAAGTAACGGAAGTAAACATTGAAATTGACCAGAGGATTAAAAAGAACATAATGCGAGCAGAGGAAGAATAATAACGTCAAAATTGTGAATTCTTACATTGAATACAACATTATTAATACCTGAATATCCTTATTAAAATTACGATACGTTTATTTACGACTGGTTTTTGAAACATGAATTTGATCGTTCGTTAACTTTCATTTAGGAAATTGAATATGCCTTTGTACTGCCACAACCAGACGCGGAAACAATGAACAACTTGCAGGTATCTCTTACAGACATTGTAAGAAAGTGACCTGTGAATCGAACGAAGTCTACAGCTAGAGGTCAACGACCTGAACGACCAGAGAGTCGATTTTTACACCCTTCGTTCAGACGTTCGTCCGCCGATCCCTTTTTAGCAAGGGAACTGAATCCGCATTATTCTCAAACAAGCGCAATCTCCCTTAGTATAAGACTTATTAATATAAAGAAACGATGATATAAAATTAATATTTAATAAATTTATTTATTATTATATATAGTAATATTTTTAAACCGCGAAATATACACAAGACCTTTTTTAAATATATATTTAATCCAGAATACTTAAAATTAAATTAAATATAGAAAACAACCGTTTCACAAACTCATAATTTATAATATTAACATTTAAAAAATAGCTCATCGATACATATTATTATTAATGTATAACAATTTTGATCATCAATTAATTAACATGTGTGATTATATTTGAAGATTCAGAAGAGATATAACTAATTTGAATTAACATGAATAACGTTAATTAATTAACCATAATAGAAAAAATAAATGGACATTATTATATAAATAATAATTTATAAGAGATTATGTAAATAATTATTCTCTTCCAAGTTATACTTATTGGAGATAAGAAAAATAATGCGAAAGCAATCTGTTTATTATTTTTCTTAATTGTTCACAATTGGCGCTTAGCTATAAATAGTTTATCTTTAAGCAAAATATACATATATGTATGTATTATTACTTGCGCACCTTGAATCGTTGAAAGAGATAATAACTATTTTATTATGCTCTTTGCTTACAAAAGTGAATCTCTTTGAATTGTTGAATCTTTCTTAATTCATGGATATTATTAATTATAATTGTAATAACAAAAACATTTGATTTTATAATTTTACCATACAAACAAAAGTCTTGTGACATTTTAATTTAATTTTTCTTTGTGAAAGTTCACAAAACAAATACTTATATCACACATTACAGATAGCAGACTGACGTAATTAAACGTCAAAATAACGTCATTTTGACGCCGAATATCGTCATTTTTACGTTTAATGACGTCAGTTTGCTACTTGGGATGCAACATAAATTTAGATGAGTATGCAAACTATTTTTTGGACTTATCTATATAACTTATTTATAGAAATGTATTATTTAATGAAAAATTCATGTGTACATATATACATACATAATATTATTTCCGATTTAGTTCCGGTCGTCCTTGAAAGTAGGAGTTGTTCACTTTCGATAAAATATATATAATATATATATATATATTTTTCTCTTATGTGTTTAATATAATTTATATAATTAGAAATATAAATATAACATATATATTTTTTTGAATATTCAATAAATACTTTATGTCAAATTTATGTCAAGTCATGCATTATTATTAAATTAATGCATATTTAATTCATACTTACTAAATGTTAAAAAGTAAATATATATGTATATTATTATTATTAAATTATTAGAAACTTATAATATTTAAATTATTAATTCAAAAAGAGAGATTATTTTTCTTTGCTTGGCTATATTATGAGAAGCATATAAGAGAATAAAACTGCAATATAATACTTTCATGTTTTATCAAAGTCAAACTCACATTCGTTGGTATAAAAATTCTGTCTCTGCATACGCGTGTTAGTCTCAGGTCTACTTCCGGTCGTCCCTGGCAACGGAAGGTCGTCCACTTTCCGAAGACCAATGACCATCTCTTAACACTCGAAGTTAGCGGCATTGTGAAATTATGGTGACTTCCTTGAATTTCTACAGTGAAGGGGTTTCCCATATAAAAGCACATGGAAGGAAAGAATATCTTTGAATCGTTTTTAAGACATTCAACAAGTAACAGTGAAAACTTTCGTTTCACGATGAAAAGAAGCTTACTTTTAATCATGGTGCTTGGTGTGCTTTTTCTAAGAGAATCCCTCAGCAAACCAACAAAAATAGTGGCGAGTTCTGATGTGTTAGATCCAATTGCATTAACTGTGAACGATAAATCTGAAATTGGTTAGTGATTAAAATTAAATTGACAACACTACTCAAGATTTTCTATAATTCTATAAGCAGCTTGTATCAATATAATTAATTTGCCGGAAAATATAATAGATTAGTACTACAAATTAAATAACTTTATCAATATATATAATTTAGAGATTTTATACAGTAATTATAAATTTATTATGACACAAATTATAATAATAAAAATATATAAAAGAATGAATTATATTATTAATAATAAAATTAATTAAACGGACTAATTATATTATTATATGTTATCTAGTTGCTACGAGAGAACAAAGATCGCCGCAATTCGGTTTGTTAGGCAGTTACGGCGATTATTCTGATTACGATGACAATTTCTTCAGAAGCAGACGAAAGTTTCATCATAAACCGTATCATAGGCCTGGAGGATATGGATGTCGCCGTTATGGCTGCGGTGGAGGTGGAGGGTATGTAAAATATTGTAACAATTGAAATCTCATATAATAAATCGTACTTATAATAATTTTGTTTTTTGCCAATAATCTTTACAAAAAATAATTACAATATACAAATGAAAATAATTCCCATATACATATTTCCATTTTAAATTGTTTGTTTTTGTATCTTAGAAAGTTACGTCCCTATATATATATATATATATATATTTAAATATTTAATATTTAAACATTTTTAATAATCTGTTAAGACTCGCTAATACCACACACAATAATTTTTAAAATAAACTTCTCTATTATAAATATTACTTTTGAAAACAATATACATATTTGATTTATATAATATAAAATATGTACATCGAGTTGTCGAATTTTTTCCGGTTCTTCGCGAATGTTTACATCTTGAAGAATGCAAGAAAAATATAATCGTTCGCATCCTACTTTCTGTTTCACGCAGATGGCAACCGGACTACGGGAACTATCATCATACAGGACAGGGAGCATCTTTCGCCTCAGCATCAGCGGGATCTATAAACGGAGGTGGTCCTTATGGAGGAGGACAGAGCGCGGCCAATGCACAGAGTGCGAGTTTCAACATCGGGCCTTTCTCAGCTTCGTTCAGCGCAGCTCAGTCCTCGTCCTCGGGATTTTGAATCTTTGAAAGCGTGAGTATATCTCTCTGACCACAAAGAGAGATCTCTTCATTCTCATCTTAATATCCCTGTAAACCAGCATTATGTGTATTTCATTATATTATAAATCTAGCGAAATTAATTAAAGGTCTACTCAGACCTTTAAATCGAGAAAATTAAATACATTAATCATCTTGTGATTAATATTCCCAGCATATTAATGTATCACATGTATCCATAAGAGAAGAATTAAATTATTGTATATTTTCTATATTTTTAAACGATAAAAAAGCCTTTGTGAAAAATTCCTAATCTTGCTTCATCCACGATCAGTCAATTCATCTTCCCAGCATATTAATGTATCACATGTATCCATGAGAGAAGAATTAAATTATTGTACATTTTCTATATTTTTAAAAGATAGAAAAGCTTTTGTGAAAAATTCCTAATTATTTTCTTACAAAAAATCTTTCACTACAATTCAAATCAAAAAATCAAATTTTATATATCATATATCACAACAATCTTTTCATCCCTTTAAAATGCTATATTTATTATTACGAGAACCGTATATTAATATTTTGTTCTGTGATTCCGTATAACATGACAGTCTATTACACGATTCTGTATTGCAGATAGAAAATCGAAAATATGATTTGAACATTGCATCCTTCGTTTTCCGGGATTAAAAAAGTTCAAGGATGCTGCCGCTCGTACATATAATATTTGTGAAAAATTCCTAATCTTGCTTCATCCACGATCAGTCAATTCATCTTCCCAGCATATTAATGTATCACATGTATCCATAAGAAAAGAATTAAATTATTGTACATTTTCTATATTTTTAAAAGATAGAAAAGCCTTTGTGAAAAATTCCCAATTATTTTCTTACAAAAAATCTTTCACTACAATTGCAAAAATCAAATTTTATATATCATATATCACAACAATCTTTTCATCCCTTTAAAATGCTATATTTATTATTACGAGATATATTAATATTTTGTTCTGTGATTCCGTATAACATGACAGTCTATTACACGATTCTGTATTGCAGATAGAAAATCCATAAGAGAAGAATTAAATTATTGTATATTTTCTATATTTTTAAAAGATAGAAAAGCCTTTGTGAAAAATTCCTAATTATTTTCTTACAAAAAATCTTTTACTACAATTGCAAAAATCAAATTTTATATCATATATCACAACAATCTCTTCATCCCTTTAAAATAATATCTTTATTATTACGAGAACCGTATATTAATATTTTGTTCTGTATAACATGACAGTCTATTACACGATTCTGTATTGCAGATAGAAAATCGAAAATATGATTTGAACATTGCATCCTTCGTTTCCCGGGATTAAAAAAGTCCAAGGATGCTGCCGCTCGTACATATAATATTTGCAAGGTTGCGAGGTTGCGGCCGCCTACGAAATTGCGCGTCCCGGGCGTGAGAGGTCAATGAACCTTCGCGAGGGCACGACGCGGCGGTTCGGAATCCGCGATTCGCATTATATTGCCCCGCGATCTCGCCCCTGACAACCCGCGTCGCTGACCGATCGCGGATGAAACATCTGTCCGGCGAGGCCCGCCGAGAAACGCAACAATCCTCTCCGGTCGGGCGTATTTCACTTTCGGAAAGTGTGTGCGTCGTACGAGCGACGATTATATACGCGAGCGAGTATATGCGCTTGTGTACGCGTATGTGTGTGTGGGACCTGCCCGGAAAGGCCCCGCGTTTTGCGCATTGTGCCATTGAAGCAAGGCCCTTTCGGGGTACGTGTGAAAAAGAATGAACAAAGGGGAAATGAATCTTCTTGGTTCTCAGGCGATCGGCAGACGGCCAGACAGACGGATTAACTCGTTTTAAAGAGACGGCCAGACGCCATATTGTTGTTTTGGGGCCCGTAGGTTCAGGAGAATCACCTCCCGGCGTTCGGCCGCCGAACCGGTCCCGCGTTTTCATCTCTCTCTCTTTTTCTCTAGAGAGATGCGCGCACCTACACGCGAATCGGAGCGTCGATTATGCACACACTTGCGACGCTCGGACATGCAGTAAATGGCCATTGTTCCTTCGAGGGGAGTCAGATAGCCCCGGGAGCAGTTTAAATCAGGTCGTCTCGGATTGCCGACGTAGAAAATAATAATCATGGCGAGAGCGATCCCGATTTTGAATTTTAAATTTTGGCCGATGAAGAAACTTTGAGCATTAAATTTATTTTGTTTGAAAAAAAATTTTATTATTTAATTTAAATGTTTTTTATACATTCTAGATTCAATCTTATGTTTGTAATATATTATTTGTGTAATATTTAATATTTTATTCGCATAACGTTGTAAACGTTTAATTACGGTGCATCATATAATCGAGAGACAATGATGCATCCGCCAGTTTCGTAATTCGATTTTAAACATATGTAATCCCAGGTTGTGTGTCGACGCAACCTTCTCTACGCAATCATTAAATGCAGTTAACGGATTGCCAGAGGCTTACACTTCTTTTCATTAAAGATGATTCAGCTACTTCGAATCTGCTGAATAAAAATAAAATCTGCTTCTTCTGCATGATGCATCTTTAAGAAATATGCCTAGCCCTATAGCTTTAAAATTTATTTTATCGTTTTTCACCAGCAGAAATTTTTCATTCTGTTTATTCAAAATTATTTATTATATTATATGCCCATTATAATATAATTTTAAATTATTCATTATATTATGTATTTTATATATTATATTTTTTTATGTTTATTATTTTTAAACAATATATTTGCCCCCAAATTTTTCATTCTGTTTATTCAAAATTATTTATTATATTATATGTACATTATAATATAATTTTAAATTATTCATTATATCATGTATTTTATATATATTTTTTTATGTTTATTATTTTTAAACAATATATTTGCCCCCAAATTTTTTATTCTGTTTATTCAAAATTATTTATTATATTATATGTACATTATAATATAATTTTAAATTATTCATTATATCATGTATTTTATATATTATATTTTTTTTATGTTTATTATTTTTAAACAATATATTTGCCCCCAAATTTTTCATTCTGTTTATTCAAAATTATTTATTATATTATATGTACATTATAATATAATTTTAAATTATTCATTATATCATGTATTTTATATATATTTTTTTATGTTTATTATTTTTAAACAATATATTTGCCCCCAAATTTTTTTCTGTTTATTCAAAATTATTTATTATATTATATGTACATTATAATATAATTTTAAATTATTCATTATATCATGTATTTTATATATTATATTTTTTTTATGTTTATTATTTTTAAACAATATATTTGCCCCCAAATTTTTCATTCTGTTTATTCAAAATTATTTATTATATTATATGTACATTATAATATAATTTTAAATTATTCATTATATCATGTATTTTATATATTATATTTTTTTTATGTTTATTATTTTTAAACAATATATTTGCCCCCAAATTTTTCATTCTGTTTATTCAAAATTATTTATTATATTATATGTACATTATAATATAATTTTAAATTATTCATTATATCATGTATTTTATATATTATATTTTTTTTATGTTTATTATTTTTAAACAATATATTTGCCTCCAAATTTTTTATTCTGTTTATTCAAAATTATTTATTATATTATATGTACATTATAATATAATTTTAAATTATTCATTATATCATGTATTTTATATATTATATTTTTTTATGTTTATTATTTTTAAACAATATATTTGCCCCCAAATTTTTCATTCTGTTTATTCAAAATTATTTATTATATTATATGTACATTATAATATAATTTTAAATTATTCATTATATCATGTATTTTATATATTATATTTTTTATGTTTATTATTTTTAAACAATATATTTGTCCCCAAATTTTTCATTTTGTTTATTCAAAATTATTTATTATATTATATGTACATTATAATATAATTTTAAATTATTCATTATATCATGTATTTTATATATTATATTTTTTTTATGTTTATTATTTTTAAACAATAAATTTGCCCCCAAAAAGTTGATATAAACATATATACTACAGTGGAATTGAAGCAAATGATATGATACGTATATTTCAAGTATTTGATTTTCGACATTTTCTGTCTTTTGCAGATACTAGGAACTGATGTCGATCCCGAATCACCCCTAATTTATTTCACCGCCGTTTATCCGTCATCGTTGTGGGTCCATTGTTTACAAACATTCTGCGTCACTAGGTACAAGTAAATAAGCCTAACCGCGGGCGCGAGCCACCCCCTTTTGCCTCCTGAGATTTCCTGAGAGAGCAAGTTTCCTTTGTCCGCGTGCCATCAACCACCAGATGTTCTCCAAAATAAAACCGACAAAAATAGCGCGACGTAGCGCCGCGATTCGCGCACCAACAAGCGAGACCGTACAGGACAAACCCTGTGCGAGAGAGGCGAAAGGGAGGAGACGCCGGGTCGCGCGAGACGAAGGGTCGCTGGATAAACGGCACAAAAGGATATAGGAAAGCCAAAGGAAGGAGGCCCGGTTAAAAGAGCGAGGACCTGAAATCGAGATCCGAAAAGTCCCGTGCAATGACCGGGCGAGCTGCACACACGACGATCCTTCGCCAGGCCGGTGCAGCGTCCTCCGCTTCAGGATACTCTCTACCCTCTCGTTATCTTCTTCTTTTCTTCACTCTTCTTTCTCAGGGCAGCCAGAGGGAGCGACGCCCTATCGAGAACGACTGCGCAGGACGACGAGAAGCGTCGCAACTTTTCGGCGAAACGCTGAGATTATTTGTTTGTTGTTTAGCAAAAATTTTATTATTTGCGGACAGGAGGAATCAACAGTCTTGTGACTTCGACGATTGTTAGTTTTTAAATTTCAAAATGATTATTTTTTTCAATCGTTAATTTTTATTTTACTTTAATAATTATGAAATTATCATTATTCATTCTTATTTGTTAAAATTCATTACTTTAAATGTAAACAAGTGGTTCGAGAAAAAGAGGAAGAAAGAGAAAAAAATGAAATTGACTGATATTATTATGATAATTTTTTCGAAATGATTATTTTCAATTATTAATTTTTATTTTATTTTATTAATTATGAAATTAAAATTATTCATTCTTATTTGTCAAAAATCATTATTTTAAATATAAACAAGTGGTTCGAGAAAAAGAGGAAGAAAGAGAAAAAATGAAATTGACTGATATTATTATGATAATTTTTTCAAAATGATTATTTTTAATTATCAATTTTTATTTTATTTTATTAATTATGAAATTAAAATTATTCATTCTTATTTGTCAAAATCATTATTTTAAATATAAACAAGTGGTTCGAGAAAAAGAGGAAGAAAGAGAAAAAAATGAAATTGACTGATATTATTATGATAATTTTTTCAAATGATTATTTTCAATTATCAATTTTTATTTTATTTTATTAATTATGAAATTAAAATTATTCATTCTTATTTGTCAAAAATCATTATTTTAAATATAAACAAGTGGTTCGAGAAAAAAGAGGAAGAAAGAGAAAAAATGAAATTGACTGATATTATTATGATAATTTTTTCAAAATGATGATTTTCAATTATTAATTTTTATTTTATTTTATTAATTATGAAATTAAAATTATTCATTCTTAATCGTCAAAAATCATTATTTTAAATATAAACAAGTAGTTCGAGAAAAAAGAGGAAGAAAAAAATGAAATATGATTGACTGATATTATTATGCCTTTTGTAATTAATTAAAATTTCCTACATTTTTTTCTTAGACCTATTTGTGTAAAATACAATGTAACAATTATAATTTTACCGAACGTATTAAGTATGTAAGTTGATTTATCTGAAACTAAATGCATCATTGCAGTTGCGTTTTGAACGTGCCGCAAGTTTGCATAACTGTTAATTTTACGATCATATTTGTTTGTTAATTATTCAAGTTAATAATACTTATTGAAAATACTTATTTTATAAATGATAGAAGAATTAAATTGTGTCTAAAGATAGGATCATACAAAATTCCAAATCAATATATATCTACAGCTTAATTTCATCATCATCATTATATAATATAAATTATTTAAATACAAAAAGTGATAAATAAAAAGGCCAACTTATCGAGCAATTATTAGAGTTGTTCTGTCAAATAAAATTTATTCCATGTATAAACTATTAAACATAAAACATTATGTGAAAGCTACAAACATTCAATACTAAAACTTAAACAAAAATTACAATTATTATAAAATAATAAAATAAACGTTTCAACCGCACGCAGTCTTCCTCAGTATAATTATTAAAAAATACAAAATCATACAAAAATTCACATAATATCGAAAATTAATGTTAGTTCTTCAAGAATCGAGAATTTACAAGCAATTAAAGCGTGTTTCAATCCGTCATGTCCAACAAATGTTCGCCTCGATACGATCTTTGATTTTAATCAAATCTCGAAAAGTTTCATCGTTAATATGCGAGAAATTAAAACGTTCCGTATACGTTGACATCGTCCTTCTTGACAATTTTAACCACGTTTTTTTGAAAAAGTTATTGAAGATGACACAAGACCAACAATATAAAAAGACACCTCATTTCAAACTCCCATAAATTATTTATATCACTTCGCGCAAAAAGAATGATTTTCAACGAACGATCCTCAACAATTCCATATCATATCACGTCTCCTCTAAAGAAATAACATCCACGACACTCGAGATGCGTCAAAGAGGCTCGTTAAAGGTCCGTCCTGTCGTTAACCATTATTTAGCCGCTCCTGGGCACCTACGGCCCTGCCAGCCGGTAAACCAGTCCCTCCGTCTGTGCAAAAAGAGAAAGAGTACAAGAATTGCTCGAGTAAAGTGAGAGAAAATCAAAGGGAGAAAGTGCGAGAGAGAGGTTGAGAGGATCGGAGAGGAAAAAAATGAAATAGAAAGTGGTCCGGCCGGTGCAACAAACTACAGGACGTACACGACGCCTTTAAAGCGCCTCCTCTTTGGTGGTGGTACCCCATGTTCCTGTTCTCCACTCACTATAGCAAACCCGCGATGTTTTCTTGAAGGCTCCCGCGTCATTGTGCTCGCATTTCTCGTGCGGTTGTCGACTCGGAAAGTTCCTCAACTTATCGCCGGTAAGTCGAGATATGTACATATTGCTAAGTACTAAGTGTTAAGTCTCCCCGAAGTCCTTCGAACACGAATAAGTGAACCCCGTCGATTATAAGAGAACCCTTATTCTGTCGTTTCACGAAGCGAGGACGTCGCGCGATAAACAAACAGTGATAAGAATTAAAAATCGTAGTGCTGAATTTTTTTCTCCGCGTTCGACATGAGACTCGGTAGATATCTCTTTATTCGTTCTTCTTGAATCTATACCTTCGCGTGTAAAAATTAAATCAGAAACAAATTGATGCGGTTAATTGTTGTAATTGAGCTCGCTCTCTGCAGTTTTTAAGGGGTCCAAAGTAATATACAAAGGTTTCAAAATAAATCAAATTCTTAAAATAACGTTATTTCAATTGATAGGAAGAAAAGAAAAAAACAAGTACAAAATAAATATAGCGTATGCCATATTATTTAATTTATTATTTTAGATATACACTTTTTATTACTTTTTTAAATTTTATATTTAATTGTTTAAATCTTTTTGCTAAAAAATTCAGATATTTTTCGAAAAATACTGATTTCTAGGATATTTTAATATCATCCATGTACGAGATTATTTGCTATGTAACTTGTGAACGTCACTGTTTGGTTGCGAGAATACCGTCGAATTGCGCAGTCTTGTGGCTTTTACGTAAGATTCTGACCAACACTATTGACCGCTCTAGAAAGTGATTCAATTAGCTATTTAGTTAGTTATTCTTCGAACTTGTTTTCTTGCGGACAGTGATTGCGGAACCGTCCAAGGTCTTTTAATGATTCTGTTTAAAGCCCATGGATGCCGAGAATTTCTCATTATGTAGGCATAAAGTAGTCATACACGAAGAATTGCACTAATAATCGACGATAATTTTGGTTTAATATTATTGTTTAATTATTATTAACATATATTAATAATTATTATTAATATGTGTTAGTAATAAAAATATTAAATAAAATATTAAAATATTAATAATAATTTAATATGCATCATTAATTATGTGAAGAAATTCATAATAAAAAAAATGCTGGAATAGATTGTATTAGAACAAACACACATTTTATCTTTATTTTTTGTCTCATTATTTTTGTTTCTTTACTTTGCAGGATAACAAAAATTTCGACCTTTGGACACATTAAAATTTCCGTTGCAAAATGATAAAAATTTTAGCCCTCTTGATACTCAGTTCAATCTGTGTCATAATCAATGCTCAGGAAACGGTACCTAATGAAAAAAGTAAGTACATAAAATAAAAATGTATTACCTTTACAAGTTTATAAAAGTTTTTGTTAAATATATTTTTATACAGTTATATATATAAATTATATAAACTGTAAATAAAATTAATTGATCTGTCAAATATATGTAAATATCTTAAAATTTCTTTTGTCTTTGAAAAAAAACTTTATATAATTATTTCAATTTTATTAACTTATCTTTTTTTTTATAAAAGAAAAGATTTATTTGAAAATTTTTTGACTAAAATATATTAAATTATATTCTTTTATATAGTTTTTATTTTTCTTTTAACTTTCTTCATAATAATGCAGCACATTTCGGCCAGACGTTTGATGAAATTGTCGTATCATCCGACTTAAACGTCAGAAGAAAATCAAAAGAAAATCGTCAAGGCAAAAGATTATTGTCAAACGTGCCGTCAGGAACCACTGGTCGACCGGAAAAACCGACCGCAATTGCATCCAGACTCGTTTCTACCGATGGAAGCCGTATAACGCTGGAAAAAAGAGAGAAACGTGGCATTGTAACAGCGCGAAGGAGGTAAATTAATACAAAAAAATATTTTTCTTGAAAAATCAATTTATTGAATTTGATTTGAATTAATTAAATAATAATAGTATATATATCTAGTGTAACAAAATATTAAAGTATTTGTAAGAGAGTAGCTAAATTATAATTTAAATTATATTACATACATAATTAAAACTTTTAAAGTAAAACTCAAAAAACTTAACATCAGCTATTGATAACATTTTTGATATCGCTAAGTGCTCAGCACAAATCTGATTACTGATAGTTATTGTGGAAATAAAATTAGTATAATTCTTGTCTGATGACGTAACAAAAACAATATTACTATATATTAATGCAAAATTTTTAAATAAAATTTGATGTACATACATATACCAAGATTGGGGAAAAACATTTTAAAAAACAATTATGTGCATAAATAATTAATTAAAATTTATATTTTTAAATACGTTTATATTTTTAATTTTTTATAATTGCGTTTTTAATATTACTTTTATATAAAAATGAATTCTCTTTTTATTTATGTGTAATATTTCAGGTATTTGGATTTGGGCGTCGCGGGATACTTGCTGAAATCCAGGAAACGGTGAAAATTTTAATCTGAGGACAACCGCACGACCCTCTACACCCTCATCTGTGATCACACCTCTTTCGACGAATTTTTAGGCCACGGTTCATGTAACAAAAAGAATAATAAAATTCTTCTGTGTCATAACACTTCCAGCATCCTTTCTTTTAGCTGATATTGTATTTCACATTTTTCCTGAAAACTCTAAATTCCTTTTTTGAAATTTTTCGATAAAAAGAAAGGTAAAAGGATCTATATTTATTTAAAAAGTGTATATCATAAATATAATTTTATGTTTTTTATTGAGTTGCTGATGATATTTTCATTTGTCTAAAACGGTAAAAAGCAGACCAAGTTTTAAAGCTATCAAAATAAGTTTGTTTTACATACAATTAGTGTTT